TTATTATTATTATTATTATATTTGATTTTTATAAATTAAATTAACATTGTATATATATATTATATTTTTATAAACAAAAAATAATTTATAAAAGACAACACATTATTCTAATAATTATTATTAAAAAAGTTGATAAATTTAATATTTTAATACAATAAGTAAACGTTTTATTTATTATTCTTTTATAATTAAAAAATGATAACAAATTATTTTAATAACTACATTTTTTTATAGTTATATGCCACTTTTTTGATAAATGCATACCTGTAAAATAAAATATACATTCATTATTTTTTAGTAATATGTATGTATAGTTTAAATTTAATTTCAATAGTTACCTAGTTATATCTTTTTTTTTAAATGCATCAACTGTCTCATTGCTCTCGATTGCTTTACATCTTTTATTTTCTCTCGATAGTCTTTCGACAATTTTGGAGTATAAAAATATGTTTGGAGAAAAATGGACAGCGGACTAAAATTATATTTATTTGTAGAGCAAAAAGGAGTTTTAATTTTTTTTTTTGTTTGAAAGAAAATGATCCCGCCCCACTTGCACTGAACGTCTAAATAAGGGTTCTATTGACACGGATCATTAATAGTAAAAAATAAAAATTATTCAGGCATATAAAATATATTTGTAGAATTAAAATATTTTTAATTATTAAATTGAACTATTTGTAAGCGATTTGTATTTTTTAATTTTTTTTTATTTTACTTTAGTTGTCTCCTTCTGTTAAAATTAGAAAATATTATGCAAATTCATAAACTCAATGTTTAAAATATTAAATTTATAACTATTAACTTATTAAATGCGTTCGAATAATAGACTTAAACGATTACAATATTTAATTATATCAAAATACATAATATACATAATTTCATCAAAAGAGGTACATTTTCTAAGAAGACTGCCTCAACAACACTTTTATAATATACTCCAATCAAAGTGATTGAGTTGTCATTTGTAGAAGATTTTATTTTTTTTTTTCTTACGTATTTTACATGTTTATATACTAAACTTCTTTTGATAAAATATTTACAGAAAACATCTCAACAAATATTAGTAGTTAATATTGTATAATATCGTAAACGGCCTTAAAGTTGTTTCTGTGTATATAATATACTTATAATAGCACTTTATTAATTAATAAATAATATTTATGTAATATTTTGTATGAAAATTAAATTTTTATTTTCATTTTTTTTATATTCATTAAAATATACACATGTATCAAATATGTAATAATTACAAATGCCACGCCCGCGGTCATTCACATGCATTGATTTTTTGTTTTAGATAAAAGAATAAATATTTATACAACAGATTCGTCACAAAAATTATTCGTTTTAATTATTAACACTTATGGAAGAAAATAATGTTGACATTTATTTAATTAGCGGCTAAATATGGCTCCATATTATTGGAATATTCGAATAATATTGTTTGCAGTCCCGGATTAAGGGCCGATACCGCCCTGGATCAATAAATACTATTATAAAATATACCTAATATAATAATTAATCAACTTACACTAAAAAGTATAACTATATGTTTAATGTCATAAAATGGTTTTCCAAAGAATTTTTTTAAACTAATGAAAAATAGTTACAAAATACAGTTATAATATTAATAAATTGGTTCATAAATATACAGATAATAATTAAAGTGATTTTTAATAATAACGTCAGTTAAAAAAAAACTAATATTATTTATTTTTATTTAAATAATTTTTTTTTATGGATTCAATAGTTACAAGTTTTTATATTAGGTAGTTCTTCTCAATTAATTTCCTTAACCAAATCAGATTATAAGCATAAAATTGATAAATTAGAAATTTTTTCTTGTATTAATGACGATCTTAAATACTTTTTTACATGTTTTAAAACAGAAAACGATCTCTTGCTACTTGCATTTGAAGAAAGTTAAGTGCAAATAATTCCTAAAATGATTTCAATATTAGGAAACAATATCTCTAAAGACGATGTTTTCAATGTTCTCAGTAGTAATATAAAAGTATTTTATTTCTAACGGAAAATATGAAAAATATTGAACGATAGGTTTGAACTGTACCAACTCTTCCACAAAAAAAAATAAATATTAATTTTTTTTCATTTCAATTTTATTTTATGCGATGCTTTGAATTATAGTAGCATAGTTAAATAAAGTTCCTAAATTATATAAATTGCTAGTAACATAATTTTATATTTTAATCGACTTTGTTATGACGCAATACTACAATTGTCGTACGTCATTAATTAAAACTCATTTATTCGTTTAATGCGATTCAAAAATACAATCAAAGTAATTTATTCATACTAGGTAGGATTCGACAGACATTGAAGGCCCCACGGTGCATTTCAAAATGAATATTTTTTCAGGACATACGTGAATTAAGTGACTGAATAATTAGTTACATTCCGACGAATCTCGTTCTACTCTATAATCATTACATCGGCATTGGAATTTTGCATATGCATAACCTTGCGGGTTAATGTGACAATAATATGATGAATAACTGAATATTAAAATACAAAAAACAATATACAAAATATTTTTGAACAACACTTTTATATAATATTATAAATGTATATTTATTTTTAAAACATTCTAATATTTCAGTTTAATTTTCAAATCACAATTATTAATTATTAATCTTTATTTTTTTATAACACAAATTAATCAATTTTATGTGATTTTACAATTTATTATTGATCTGTTGTTTTTGTATCTTTTCTTTATAATATATGAAAAGTAAAATAAATGTTATCATTTATTTTAATTATATTTTATTTGAATGCATAGGAAAAATAGCAATATTTCCATTCATATTAAAGTCTATTTTTAAGTAGTCCAGCGTATTGACCTATCGAACAGCAAGCAATTATAAATCCTTATCGGATGTATTTATGTAGTTTTGTCTAGGATATTCTGTCGTACATTTATACGTGTTTCAGCATCATTCTGAATTCTCTGTATGGTTTGATTTCATTTATTACTCGATTTTGTATGTTTTTTTTTCTGTTTCATAAAATACTGATACATAAAATATCGCACTATTCTAAACTTAGATATTTTGTGTCCGATTTTGGCGATGACATTTCTTCGTTCGACGCGAGTATTTTTTTTATTTTTTTTTTTGTAAATTATGCGAGTGTAAAGTTAATAGTGACAAAACATTTAATGAATAATAATTACTTGAATATTATTTTTATTTCCAGATAATTTTTAACAGTTACTATATCTTCGTTCAATTTTAGTTTATTACAAATTGTAAATTCATGTTAATTCATAAATGGTTTATATTTATTTAATAAATAGAAGTTTTTTTTTTTTTTATTTGTGAACAGAATATATTTTTGTTTTTGTTGTTTTTCATATCTTTATAGTATACTTATTATTAGGGATGGGCCGATAACACTTTTTACCGATACCCAAATACGTATCGATACCCGATACGTGAATATATAAAAATAGATTTTCATAAAATTTGATTTTTTAAATAAATAAAGTACCTAATGTTGTGAAATATTTACGGCCTTAAGTTACAGTCGAATCGCAAACGGGAACAATATATATATATATATATATATATATATATCTTTTGAGTTATTTACTATGATTATTATTTGTTTTTTTTAATGATTTTTTAAATAGTCAAAATATTCAAACTCTACAATCTTTTAACCTAATCTTTCTTAAATGGGTCAATTATTTTCAACGTTTGGTTTTTTACGAGTAAGTAACCGAAAAATGTATCAAGTTTACGATTTTGAAATATTTTACTTTTTTTATTACTCTTCAATGATCATACTATTATTAAGTCGGTAATATCGCAAATCAACTAGTAGTAAATACAACAAGATTGTGTTTGTACCGTTTTTATTCCAATTGGCAATTTTCGTCTATATGACTGTATCAAAAGGAATAGTCGAACTAGATGACAAAATCACAATATTTAGAATCGCAGGTGTATATAATAATGTGTATAAGGTGTACCTCTGTATATAATAATATAATTGCATGAGATTATAAGAACTGGACAGATCTTGAAGCATAAAGAAATTAAGACAGTCTTTAAAGTTATCAAATGTTTGTTTTACAAAACTCGTTTTACCAAACAACTTTAACTCTGCCTATAACTCGTTAATTTTTATATTATAAGTGTTAGAAACTATGTATATATTATAGACGTTTTATAGAAATTTTAAATGTTTATATCATATTGCCACGGCCTTAGAATTTATGCCACAAAAGAAATATTAATATGCTATTATATTTAGCTGTATATGTGTAGCAAATGAACATAATATTAATTACGAGTTTGCTATGTACCTCAGAACAGCCTGCAATTAACCAATAGGTTAGGTTAGGGCAGTTGTCCCCATTCACTCCTGCCAAGATACGCTTATGTATATATATAGGTAACATTGAGTTATTGAGTCGTTGAATTGTGGCACACTGATTGAACTCTTTCAGTTCACCTAAAAAAGTTGACTCTTCGAATCAACTCACTCACGAACTACTCATCCCTAATAAATAGTATCATTAAACCATTTCAAAAAAACACATTGAAAATACATTTTATAACAAAATTTTAGATGTTTAGTATATTATTTTTTATAACTATGTTCTAAAAATTAATAATACATAGCAAATCTCTTAAAGTCGAGTCTATATGCCGAATGAATCTATATGGTAATTAAATATTATCATTATTTTCTACTAGCCTTATGTACTTTGACGGTACGTTAAATCTCTAATCACTGGTTTGCTTTTTGCAAAACTTTCAATGTTCATTTTTTTATCTATTGTCAATTAATTACGCAATATTATTTTTACAATTTAAATCCATACATTTCTTAGGCAACGTTTATTAAACAAGTATTTTGATTATTATTATTTTTTTTTCAATCGAAGTGGATTTCAACTGTCGAGAACTGAATATAAAAAATCATTAGTTTAATTAAACGGTTTTGTCGAAGTAAATAATTAAGACATAATGAACTCCTCGTTAAGGTCTACAAAAAATGAAGAGCCGTGTATCGTATATCCATGGGTAAGCATACAGGGCTTTTGTAGTGTATAGTTTATGTAAATTCGATTTCATATAAATTAGATATATATAAATAAAATAATGAGTTTGAAAAATCGTGCTTAGGATGTTTGTGACGAGGATGAAATGAATGCCAAAGCGAATTTTCAAAACAATTATCTCGATCACATGAGCAACTTGAAGCTTAAATCGAAAACGCCGTCAAACACGTTGACTACCATAGCTTGTGGCGTCCGTACGTACAAATATTAAACCAGACCTATCAGCTAAAAGCGTTTACCGATTACTATTATTATTATTATTTGCAGTACCCAACGTGACCAAAGAGTTGATAGAAGAGTACTGTGAAAATGGTGTGTCCATGGTTGTGTTCAGTTTTGAGGGTTTGTCACGGGAACAGTGTCTAAAATTCGTTAACGAAATTCGTCAAGGAGTTTTTAACTTCAGTTTAAAGAAGAACGACCGGATACCGTACTCCATGGCACTGGTACTTGATCTCGAAGGATCTCGCATCAAAACTGGGTCTATTTCTACTTCGGAAGTAAGTGTTCTTGTTAAGAAAACCCGAATAACAATGAATAACCGTGATAACGACATCTAGACTCGTATATAGACGAATATAACGTATACTTTGATATACCTCACTTGTTATTGGAATGTAAAAATTAAAACGAGTATAACTTCAACGTAATAAAATATAGTTAACCTGTGTAAGACTAACACAGACTGTGAATAAGCCGGAAATCTGTATAAATCATGATAACTATAATTAATAATAGATATGATATATAAATTCTATAACTCAAAATCAAGACCTCTTTTTCGAGTTCAAAATAATTTTTTAAGATTTTTAAGCTTTGAATGTTAAATTTTTAGAACTCCTCATTCTAATTACAATATTTTAAATTAACTTTTTTCTATTTTACCCGTTTAAAAAATATTTAAACTATTAAATTTGTTTTGCTAAAATATTTCCAATAAAAGCAAAAAAATAAAAATAAATAAAAAAAACTATTAAATTTATAATTTCTTAACAAATTACTAAACAGTATTATAGATTGTTCAGAACTGATTGATCGACTTAAATTAATAATTTAGATAAATTTTCTTATAATAACATAAAAAGTTTTCCTATTCACCAAATATATTGACCAAAATTTTGTTATCCTCTCCAGATAATATTTTAATGTCTATAAAAAATTCTGAAAAGAAGTTAGATTTATTTTCTTGTTCTCTTAATGGTCTTTCTTTATGTATTCATTAATATTTATTTATATTGTTAATATTTTTTTTTATTAAATATGATGTATATATTATACATACATGCACTTTGATTTATACTTTATTAAACAATTCGCAGCCCAACCAAAATATGATAGAGCTTCCAACCAACGGTCATGTTTACGTCACCAACGACATCACGTATAAGAACAAGTGTACGGAAAACCGCATTTACGTGACCAGCAACAGTATTCTCCGGCTAAAAGAACACGACCGGATCTACTTGGACTACGGGAAAATCGAATTGGTCGTCAAAACAGTTGGTAATAATAAATATACACCGTTTGTACACGGTATATATCTACTTCGATCCGACACTAAAACGATTTTCTCCTGTAGACGCGGATGAGGTGTACTGCAATGTATACCGAGGGGAGTTTCTCGGGTCTCGGAGATCAGTGCACATAGCAGGGATCCCAATCGGTACGACGTCGCTCTCCGAAAAGGACGAAGAGAACGTCCGTATTGGTATCGAGCTTAAGGTTGACATCATCCTGATTCCTGGTGTCAGAAACGCAGAGTTCTTCAAACGCGTCAAAAAATTTGTCTGTAAGTGCATCTGTATTATGCCCGTGATGAGTAAAACACAGTGGCGTCATTTACGGAGGAGGGGAGCAACTATGCATTTGCGATAGTCTAGAGTTCAGCTATTCCAAAGTCACATCATCAAAACATAAATACGTCTTTTATATACCAACTGACGTGTTGTAAATCAGAAACATGACACGTGTACTATAAGGGCACTGATGTACAAAATACAAATCATTATATTTTTGGACTGATATGACGTCCCCCCTCCCTCCACGTTCATGGGTACTTTGATAAAATAAGCCATCAAGTCAGAAATTTAATAGGAGTGTTGTATACGCCGACTGCCCTACTCTACAAAAACTGATATCATGCCCCTACTAAAACATAACTTTTTGTCCTCTATTAAGTATTTATAACCTGGTACTAATGGTTGAATAACAAATTATTGTAACGACCCTCAAATTCAAACAATTTTTTTCTATATTTTATAGACATCGTACCATTTAACTGATGTTTTTTTTTTAGTATCATGACTAGAGGTCGGATTTTTATGATTTTACATATTTGTTTCTAGTCTATGCAGTTAAATGAGAGTGAGAAATCTTTACGATTCATGAAACACAGAATTCACAAGAAAAAATTTATTTTGCATAAAAAAGCAAATTTTAGAAGTTAGAGAATATTTAGCATGTTAGAGAAATTTGAGAATATTTTTCTAACATCGGCATATAATGAACATATTTCACATATATCAGCACTTTGATAAATACAATGTTCAATAAATAATTTTTTTTTGGGTTAATAAAAATTAATTTCCATGTATTCCTTATCGATTGCGATAGCACATCGGTTATTTCGTTAGCTGTCACGACTATTCTCGTCGTCTACTAGTCGTCCGTCGCGTCGCGTCGAGTGTTGATATTTGAGTGCTATTATTATAACTGTCTATAACATACAAATATGCCGAAAGCTTCAAGCAGTTTAAAAAGTTTATTTGCTCAATGGATTTCGTCGTACAATAACCAAAAAACGATTTTCACAACAGATGGGGCAACAATTTTTTGTCAAGTTTGTGACAAAAATATTCCTTGCAGCAAAAAATCACAGGTTACACAACATGTACATACTAATGTCCACATAAATGGTTTAAAACGTAAATTAAATACTTCATCAAAATAATTATTTTTATCAGAAACTACTACCAATGAAAAAAACTTAAATGATTTTAACAACGATTTGTGTCTAGCCTTAGTAGCAGCTAATATACCTTGGTATAAAATGCAAGTTTCTCAATTTCATACATTTTTAGAGAAATACACTGGCAAACAAATACCAGATGAAAGTGCGTTACGTAAAAATTATCTCGAGCCGTGCTACTATAATACTTTAACAAAAATTAAAAATTAAATTGGTGAAAATAATATTTGGATTGCTGTAGATGAAACTACAGATACAAATGGTCGTTATGTTGCAAATATACTGGTGGGAATATTAAAATCAAATACTCTAACTTGCCCATTTCTCCTGACATGCAAAGTTTTGGAAAAAACTAATCATTCCACTGTTGCTCGGTTTATCAATGATGGACTAAAATTATTATGGCCGTTGGGTGAAAATGACGAAAAAGTGTTGTTAATGTTATCGGATGCAGCTCCATACATGACAAAAACCGGTGATACACCATAAGTTTTCTACCCAAATTTAATTCACGTTACGTGTGTAGCTCACATGATGAACAGGGTTGCAGAGAAGGTCAGAGAAATGTTTCCAAATGTGAACACATTAATCAGTTATCTAAAAAAATATTTTTAAAAGCGCCATATCATGTCCAGGTGTACAAAGAAATATTGCCCAATGTGCCATTACCTCCAGAACCCGTATTAACTAGGTGGGGAACTTGGCTGGAAGCCGCTGTATTTAATTGCAAACATTTTGAAGGTTTGAAAAATGTTATAGACAAATTAAGTGAAGAAAAGTCGTCAGTCAGTATTGAAAAATGCAAAAACATGTTACACTTACAGTCTGTAAAAAATTATTTAATTTTTATTAAAACTAATTTTCTTCAAATTGTTACAACTATCAAAAGTTTGGAAAAATCAAATACTGCCTTAGTTGATATGATAAATATTATCGAAAACACTTTTACACAACTTGAGCAGATACCAGGAGAAAAAAGGAGAAGTATTAAAGACAAAAATATTGCAACTTCAACAAAAAAAACAAAGGATACACATTTTTGAAAAATATTAGACAAGTTCTTAGTGGAAATAACACAGTACAACTTCCGGAAAATTATTCACCGACTATGGTAGCCGACTTGCAATATTCTCCAGTGACATCGGTTGATGTCGAACGATCCTTCGGCATATACAAGAACATTCTTACAAACCGGCGTACTAAAATGACACCGGAACACATGGAACAATATATAGTTATTAATTGTTATTGTAAAATTAGTTAAATTAAATATATTTAAAACCAAATTAATGAAAAATAAATTTAAATAATAAATAAATAATAACTTAAAATAATAAATAAAATATAATTTTTTTTTTAATATTAAAAGAATATTTTGCATATTTAAAGACATAAAACATCATATATCTGGTATTTTAAAAGAATGTTAAGAGAATATATTACCTATTTTATGTGACATAAAAACATCATATTTTAAGAATTTTAAGAGAATATAAATCCGACCTCTAATCATGACACTTAAAACTAATTTTTAAATATATTTGGTTTTCATTGGTTTTAATTTATATTTTATTTAATAATTACCTAAATCGACCGTTTGATGAAAATCAATTTTGTATCAATAAATCAACCGGTAACTGTTTTTTATAAAATTTACTCTTAATTTTTTTTTATTAGTGTTCGCTTATGACTATTACTAATTAAAAATGTTTAGATATTTGAATACAAGTATTTAAATGTTTCTTAAAAACCATTAAAAGTTACTAAGTTACTAAGTTTAACTAACTGTAGATAATTTTCAATAATTATTGATATTTCATATACACTATTATTTTTTGAACCATTATTATATTTGTCATTATTAAAATGATTCAGTCATTTTGAATACTTAAATAATTTTCAAAATAGTATTTTAAGAAATGTAATTGAATAATGCTCAAATACTCTTAAAAATCATTTCAAATTTTATAGTAAAAATAGGTAGCATTTGCTATGGAATTATATCGTTAAGTATCTTACGTGCACCATATATTAGTATTTTATAGTAGTATATGCTATATAGTATTTTATAATGTTTAAAAATATAGGTTATAATCAAAACAAAAAAACTAATTTTTAAATAAGTTATAAATTTAGTTCTCATTATTATTAAATGTATGCACTTTTTAATTTTAATTATAGCAGTCTTAACAACATTCGCAATATACTAAATAATACTAAATAGCGTAAAAAAAAAATAAGTAATACTATAATGTTAGTTAGTTAATTAAATAGTTTTTTAATTATTAAACTGCCCAAAGGTGATGAACGTGGCACCGACATCGATCTATACGCGAAAATCGACAACTCGGTGGGACTCGAATGCATCGACGAGATAATAAAAAGCGCGGATGGCGTATTCCTGCACCGACCTAATCTATCCATGGAATTAGGGTACCACCGAATATTCTTGGCTCAAAAGATTGTTTTGACCAAGTGCAACATAGTAAGTTTTCCGATCCAGGATTATACAGAAATAGGATATGCTGATGACATGTAAAACATTCGTCTTTATTGGTACGCAATTAATGTCAACACTTAGAGGGGTGGATAAGGTTTTCTGAACTTCGGTAGCTCTAAAAATACAAATCCGGATAAACATTCCTTCGTCACGTAGGTTTAATATAGTAATTCGTTTAACGCAACCGTGGATCGATTAATCGAATGATGTACGCGAATTCTTGACGAGCACATTGTTAACGCGTCGACGTGGAGTTTTATTTTTTCACAAATGTTTTTCAATCATAACACCAAAGCATAACACACATGGTTCGCCACCAGCATGGTAATCACGTTTATTACGATCCGTTATCATTATTATTGCGTTCAACGTATTAAAAGTAACGACAATAGTGATTCCCTTGCAAGTCCATAAAATTTATCAAAAATAAAAATAATAAAAGTAGAAATATGGAATGTACGGCATATTTGTAGTAGTTGTGGGGCGTGGTTTCATCGCCGTCGATTCAGACTTCTTACGGCCATAAAAAAGTGGTTCGTTAGCGGTCGATATCAATCACGAGCGACCAACGTTATGTGGTTGTATTGCGGCCCTTACGTTTGAAAATCCTTAAACGTACGTGGACCGCGATCGGTGCAAATGTCCCGTCCCTCATTGTTGTCGGCACGTCGACCGAACACCACCCGTATGCCGTAACCGACTGGCTTTGGAGCCGTCGGAATGGTCGCGGGAGAGCAAACGACGAGCACCCCTCGTCCGCCGCGGGCAATCTGATCCCGAGTACCAAGTGGCGTATCCAGAATTAATTTAACAGGAATGTTTTAAAACACTAGTACCTGTGTAGGGCAAATTATACTGTAAGTAAGTTTGCAATTTGGTGAAATACCATAAAATACGGTCGATGAGAAGTGTTTTAACACCCATAACCCCCTAAATACATCCCTGCAAGTACCGATACCGGGCCCCTGTCATTTCGTCATCGCACTACCCGCGACCGAGGGCCATGCGCGCAATAATATCACATCGCTCGTGTTCACTCCGTTTAGATGGGCAAGCCGAGCGTGACCTACGGCGGATTCCTGAACTCGATGGAACGGAACGCGATGCCCGCGAGCTCGGACGTCAACGACGTCGTCAACGCCGTACTGGACGGCACTGATTGCATTTACCTGAGCGTGACGAAGCGGTCCGAGCACCAGGTGCATTGCGTGGAGTTCGCGTCGTCCTTGTGTCGACAGGGCGAGGCGGCCATATGGAAGCAACAGCTATTCTCGGAGCTCAACAACAAGGTAAGCACGCGAACGCACGCAGTGGCAGCCAAGAGACCGGTGGTGGCGCCTCCACTCGGGGATTCGTTCGGGGCCAAAACCGGATTAGATGAATTCAACCCACATATTTCAATAGGCGCGATTATCTTTTTTAATCAATATTTAGTACAAACACAACGAAAATCACCGTTTTATATTACATAAGCTAATAACATTTTTTTAAAAGTTGTTAAAATTTAATAATTCCAGCCAGTTTAGATTTTTAATGTTGCTATACATGTGTGTTTGATTTCACCGAATGTATTATCATAATGTCAACCTGCAGAATATAATTAACGCATAAATACACACATAAATTATCCGACACAGCAAAATAAATACCCAATTGTCGCGGCCCACCGAGTTTTACTCGGTAATTCGACGGGCCAGGTTGGCCCTGTTTGGAACCAAGCCATCTCGGTGAAGAGTCGTTCGAAAGCGCGCGGGGTTAAGGACACGGATCGAAATCGATTGACTGACAAGAACGGCAGGCGTACTTGGTGTCGCATTGGTGCGTGTTAAACAGATGGCTTCATCCGCCGCGTTGCAAACCGAAAACGCTATTGAGTGCCGAAACGGAAGATTGTAAACTGCGGCAAAAAAAAATTAAGATTATACAATCTGCAACAAATCTGATAAGATACATTATACAAACTGCAGCAATTTATTATATATATACTATATATATATTTTTTTTTAATGTTATTACTTCCTGCTTGACGTTCAATTAGAGAATCCGATTCATGACTATGATCTAAAACTGATTTTTCTTGTAATAAAGTTTTTTCCTTGTGAAAACCAATTTTGCCTTGCATATTTTTTTTTAGTGCATTCCTATGTTTGATTACCATTTATTTTGGATTCATATTTAAATTTGAATTTAAAATTATTTGACACTGATAATTCCTTGCCATTTTGGCCAAACATTGTTGTAAATTCCATGACGTTGAATGAATACTTAACTTTATTTCTACTAACCTCTAACACTTGTAAGTAGGTAATAACTAGTATTTTCAAAAGTAAAGGAACCGATATTACTAATATATTTCGTTAAAACTTAAAAATATATTTGGATTTACTTTACTACTTTGTACACAATACGCAACATTTTATAATGAATTAAACGATATACGTACATAGGTACACATAGGTAGGTATATATAATGTAGGTACTATAATAAATAGTATATATAGAAGGTATGTATATAAAATAAAATACCTCAGTTTCTATAATGTATCTTATCGATTTTGCCGCAGTTTACCATTAATCGATATGACTTTTAGAAAAAAGTTAATTTTGCCGCAGTTTACATACAGTCGCCGAAACAGAATCGGGTGACGACAACGCGTTTCGCACCTTTAGGGGGAGGGGGACCCAAACGGTTTAACGTGTGATGTTTCCCAATGTTTCCCGATTGGATGAAAATAGGGGCGTCGGAGTAGAGTGGTATTTTAGGGCGTGAAACGCACCCCGAGTGATTCGTACGTAACGGGGTTGTTGGCGAGAATCCATGAGGTCCCCGACGTCTCCACCAATATTTTCACAATATTCTTATCATCTTTTTATTGTGTGTTGTATGATTTTAACTTTTTTTTGATTTTGCCGTAAGCCATTTCTACAATAATTATTAGTCAATATTTATTTTTATTACATTATTAGGTAGATTCCATTTTATTTGTATGCTATTTTTCTTTGACAATTATAGTGCCGTTTAATCAGTCACTTTTTTCAAATAGACTTTTTTGTTAATTATTTGGGTCATCTATGCTATGCTTGCATCCGTAATGACAGTTATACGTTTACGATTTTAAAAACGTTTTTCAAAATCGTTAAAAATATAATTTTATATAATTACATATAATTTACGTAACAATAATGCAACAGTAATAAAATTGATACATTTAAAGCATTCGCAATTAAAAATATGTTCAGTCCAAAACTCCGATCGATCCTGCTCACGCGATCAGCATCGGGTGCGTGGAAGTGTCGCTGAAGTGCAATGCAGCCGCAATCATAGTGATCACCACGTCGGGGCTGTCTGCCAAAATAATCGCACGGTACCGTCCCATGTGTCCCGTGATGGCCATTCTCAGGCACGGAAAGTGCGCTAGAAAGATATCGGTGTGGCGGAACCTCATTGCGTTGCACTACATAGGTAATTGTATTATTGTTAATTGAATCAATTCAAATTGCTGCGCAATTCTCCGCAATCGGCTGCCGCGTGACGTGTGTGGTGTCCAAAAAATACGTGACCACCGCGCGATGTGTTGCAAACGCTAAATCAACTACTTACTACTATTACTACTACTACTACTACTACTAAAGCCACGTTCACACAAATTTAGTACTAGGCCGAGTCACTGAAGCAAGTAACTAAATTTTTATACTCGTTATCCCCGAGTACCTACTAATTTTAGTAGATATTTTAGTCAATCTATTTGAAAACAGTTCTATTTTTTCGGTCGAGTTGAATTTTTTACTCACGCTCGTTCGTCTACTAAACCAGTGTTGTGACACCACTGTCACTGTTATATTTAGTAAAATCGCGGATTCGAAATCAGTGTCATTCTGTTATTATTTTGTGATATACCACTCGATATTTCCTGTGAGATATGATTGAAATATTAAAATACAACTTTTGTAATAATTTTGTAGTTTTATAGGTACACTAGTCTTAGTTAAAAATAAAACTAAAATAAAACAACTTTTAAAATAAATATAATAATGATAAGAATACATTGACTTTGTTGCTCCATTCCTACAAAACTTATCACTAGAATGAACAATGATCAATTTTACTATATTATGTTTAATATAGACACACACTATGCAATTTAGTACTAGGTTTAGCAACTTTAGTGACTCGGCCAAGTACTAATCCCGTGTGGATTCGGCTTAACTAACTAAATAACTACCCGAGTGTGTGAACTGCGTTTGACTAAACAGTAGCTTATAATTCGAAAACTCGTACGGAGACGCTTTAAATTGAAAATAGTTAAAGAAATGTGTAATACAAACTTATACTGTTTACACAGCATTTTTTGACATTTTTAAACGGGTGTTCACCAGTTGCCCCTTAAATTAATTTAATTTTTATAATTTTTATATATTTTTTTATTTTTTATTGCATTAAATATTTAAATTATTATTACTCGGACCGCATTCTCTAATATTACAAGGCACGAAGCATATTTTTTTTAGTATACCACATACCGAGATATCCGTTAACCATTCAAACAATACATTGATTTAAGTACCTATTAAAAACGTTCCAAAAATTAGTGAATTTAACAAAAATGTATAACTAAACAAAACAAAAAATTACAAGGATGCGGAACAGAAATGTAATTAAACCAATTATGTGAAAATTAAAAAAAAACTAATAAGTCTAATTTTTAATGCCCGGTTCGTAAAAAAAAAATACGTTTACCGTTCCAGTTCAAACAAATTTTTACTGTACCTTCCATATTTTGATAAAATTTAAACATTTTGCATAATTGTTCATTGTAAAATATTTAATAAACGTCAAACATGCATAAGTACATTTATTGCTTATCTATACGATAATCGCCGTCCACCGATAATGTAATTTAGCTTTATTTACACAATACGTATGTGAATTTTAAAAGTTAAAAATAAGTAGGTAGTTAAAAATAAAGCATTAGGTTGTTTGATTTGTAAAAATATAACAAATTTAGGATTATCTGTTGTTGACAAAACTCTTTGTTTTTCTAAACCTTGTTTCAGTGACGTAGAATGGGTGGTGCAAAGATATGTTCTTGCACCATCAGAAAATTATTGAAATTTGTTTACCTAATATTAAAATTACCTATAATATTATTTTCCAAGATCTAAGGAAATCAGCATACTAAAAACAAAATTTGTTTTTTTTTTTTATTAATATTATAATAATAAAGGTTGTACTGCTAAAATAATTCAAAATTTATTTTTTATTTAAAGAAATATATGGGAAAATATATAGTTTATTGGGAAGAATTTTACTAAGGAAATTGGAAAATTGGTGTGTTGGAAATTATAAGTTGAAAATATGCCTCTGCACCACTAGAAATTGGATCCAATTAACGCCACTGCCTTGTTCTATAATTTCAAATGGAAAGTCAAAAGAAACTTAAATGTCTAGTTTGAGAAAAAAAATATTTGAACACAAAAAATTTGACGCTCATCTTAAAACATTAGAATTACATAAGCAATCAAAAAAAAAAAAAAAACAAATAGAAAAAAGTTTTGAAATAAAATTATTGAAAGTATTGAAATCAAAGTTTACTACTATTGAAAAAGTTTATAAAATTGTAAAAACTCAAAGGCTTTTTATTGATTTACCGAATTAAATAGATAATAAATTAACAAGTTTTAAATGGTATGAATATACAAAACATTTTACACTCTGATAAAACATTTGTAGATATAGCACTCCACATAGCATCAAAGATGAAAAAAAAATGATTTGCCAAAATATAATTTTAACTAAAACAGTATAAAATAGTAGGTACAATTTATTTATTAAAAAAGGCTTAGTATTTCAGGAAGGGGAAATTATAATTTTGGTGGGTTAAAACCCCAAATCCTATGATATGTTTCCAAAAAAAAAAAAAAATAGTTCCGGTTCAGAAAATTTTCCATTTCGAGCACTGGATCAAACATAGATTTCAACAATAGTATAGAGCCTATATATTAAGTACATTATGATTACGTATGATTTGACGTGCATTTTGTTGCAGATCCTATAGAAACGGTTTGGTCGAAAGACGTTGAAAATCGTACGAAGCTCGCAATGAAATTCGCCAAAAAAAAAGGAATATTAAACCAGGGAGATTTGATTTTGCACATGAGATGTTCCAAACAAAACGCTGGTTTCGCAAACAACATGAGTCTGTTCTACGTCAGCGAAGGAGACCTTGCCGATACGTGTTAGTGAAAACCTTTCGTTATTATGAAAGAAGAATAATAGTACCTACATCGTGATCAATAAACGGATTTCGCTTTCCGGCGAAATGTTTTATTCGTCGAAATCTTGTTGAACTTTGTGCTCATTATTTTTCAATATTATGGTAATAATCAGTGACGGCCCAGGGGCTAGTCAGGAAGGGTTACTGACCATTGGTGCAACCTTAAACATATTAATATTGTCATTTTTTATAAACACAATAAAAACAATTTCGATAAATCATAGTATAAACACGAAAACATGTAATTAAAAACCATACTACTACTGATAGAGCTATTCTAGACACTGTAATATTACATGACTAATTATATTTATAGTCTCATATTATATTTTTTGCACTTAAATTTAATAAATGTAATCTGATTTTTGAAAGGCCCTACCTTTTAATTGTTGGCCATCCATTAACCCTTCCTAGTAAAATATATTAGTGCCGCCACTAGTCATAAAGTTATTGCAATCGAATAAGACGCAGAGTCGTTCAAACCATTCAATTATCATATTTTATAATTTAACTATATCAGCGATTCTTAAACTTTTTTATCTGCAGAACCCTTTTTGATGTCCACATTTATTGTGGAACCCCTTACTTTTTTTTAACTTTTTAGCTATTTTTAGGATTATTTGTAAATAAATTATTATCATATAATAATATTGTGTTAAAAGTGTTTAATTTAAAAAAATATGTCAAAATAAAAATTAAAATAATAATATTTGTATACGTATATAATATTTCTTTAATAACAATTACTTTAATTAGACTAGTCCATATGGCTTATATATTGTTATTTTTTTGTTAAAAAGATTTTTTTTTCTATAATGCAAACATCTTTTCACCATTACTAATGTTTAGTTGGAAATGTTAAATTAATTTTCTTAAAAAATTTTAAAAAATTACGTAAGCTTCGCGGTACCCCAAGGTTCCGCGAAACACAATTTAAGAAACGCTGAACTATGTAATATTCGTACGTTCGGAATACCTACATTATCTAGATAATAAATCTATTGCTTCATATTTTATCAGACGTCAAACTATTAATATACTAATGATACTAAAACAATGATATTGTTACTCAAAATTATGTTTGTGAAAATAAATTATAAACAAATTACGTATCAACTACAAGTGTAATTAACAACAGGAACACAAGAACATAGATTCGAAAAAATTAGTTTTTTCTAAAAAATATATGATATATTGCAAGCCCGGATTAAGATAATTTTGGACTCGGGGCCGAACAATTTCAGGGGCCTACATTGATAAGCAGGATACTGGTCGTGTAGCAGTTAAAAACAGAATAATAAGCGCTAAAATAGGCATAAAAAAATTTAAAAATATGCATTTAATTAATTTATTATTAATAATTAGTATAACATTAAAAATTAAAAAAAAAAAACTAATTGTTAACTTGTTATTTGAAATAAGTACCTTACCAGTTTTTTTTTAATTTAATTCATCAATTATATAATGATAGGAAAAATTAAAAATTATAATTTCCATTTACATCAATAAATATATTTATTGTATATTTATATAAGTATATTTATCTAAGTTATCTTGAATAATTAAATTCTCTTCGATTGCAAAATAAGCACAATAACATAAAAATCAGCACTTTCCTGCAAAATCTATAAAATATGCTCATTTAAATTTTAAATTTATTATCATGGCATCGAAAAATGAATTGAATTCGTACTCTGCTGTATTTTACAATAAAGAACAAAAGTATGCAAATACTATAAGTCCCAAATTCTGTTAATAATAATTAAATATGTTTTATAATAAAAAACAATTGTATAGCTATATCTTAAATACCGATTAATAATATTTCAACCGTAATAATTATGAGAATTTTGAGACCTTAATTGAATGTATGAAAGAAATTGAATCAATATTTAATCAAACTATAGCAATTAACCAAGCTGGGACTTTGTATCGGATGTTAAATGATGATAAATTTATATTTTGGTTAAGAGTCTTTCATTCTTTAATGCTTCATGTTAATATTCTGTATAATCAACTACAAAAATGAACTATGGATCCTGTAGAACTTTCAAAGGCAATTTTTCAATTTGAAGAAAATATATCAAAAGAAAGATAGAATATTGATAACATTTTTGAAGAAAAAGAAACCTCTCAAAGTCATCCAACAAAAAAACGAAAACAAGATGATACTACTAAAAAAAAAAAAAAAAAATCGCGACAAAAGAAGTACCTAATTATTATTAACAGAATTCGGAACTTATAGCATTTGCATACTTTTGTTATTTATTGTAAAATACAGCAGAGTATTTAATTAAATTCATTTTTCGATGCCATGATAAGAATAATAAAATATTTTTTATTTTTTGACATTTTTATTGTCAAAGTTAAAAACAGTTTGATTATAAGAATTACTTAAATGCTTCACACCTATTTTTATCAATTAATTTTCCTACGAACGAAAATAACTTCCCAATTGACTATTTTAATAAAACTGTTGATGCATATCCTATTTTGGACATAACTAAACTTAAAACTGAACTAGAACTGTTCTACAAAAGAACCGATTTCCGTGATATCTCTTCATCAATTAATTTATTAATATTTATAATTGAAAATAATTTAACACTGATAATTTCTGAAAGCTACAAACTTTTAAAAATTATTTCAACTATTCCAATGAATACAGCTGAAGCTGAAAGATCGTTTTCTACATTGAAACGTATTAAAAGATTTTTGAGAAATTCAATGACAGAAAATCGACTTATAGCATTAGCAATGCTATCAATTGAAAAACAGATATCAAAAACATTCCAAATTTCAACGAAGAAGTAATAAACAGGCTCGCAGAGAAAAAATATAGAAGAATCGATTTAATTTATAAACATGTACGTGAATTCTAATAAATTACTAATAATAATTAATATCATATTAACTGTATTCTATAGTTTGAACTTTATCACAATATTTTTTTGTAAATTAATTATATGCGTACATGTAAAAATAAAAACAAAATAAAAGGAATTAACTAAAATTTGTAAACAATTACCTATCTAATACAATCTGTAATATTTATATAGGTATATTACTGTTTTTTTTTTTTTTTTTTTTGTGCACTAGTTCATTAAAAACCCAGGGGCCGCTACTGACATAAATATACATTTCTTTTATTGTAATCATATATAATTTTAAATTAAAAAAATGTACAGTATTATTTAATCAATATATATAGTTAATTATCAATAATTGAATTATTAAATAAATATTATATCATGTATAAAAAATAAATACTGTATGTTTACAAAAAAAAAAAATAATTATAAAAATAATAATATATTACCTATATTTGAATTACATAATTGAGAAGCAATAATATGAACTAATAACTAGGGTGTGTTTAGTAAAGAGATTTTTCTTGCACCAAACATTTTTAATTTTTATATAATATAAATTAGAGTATACTGGAACAAAAAAAGTTTTCAATAATTTAATCTAAGATTTATGGAAAAAATAATTTAGTTTATACATCAGATTAATAAAGTTCAGCATTAAAAATCCCATACTAAAAAATTCACTGATTTTCATAGATTAACATACATTTAAAATTAAAGATTAAAAATTTTAATTAAAAATATTTGTACCCTATTTCAAACCAAATTTATTTATTTTTCTATTAATAAAATAAAATTATAACTACCTAATAAAATATTGGCATATTTAATATCAACTAATATAGATAAATCATAAATAATAAATAAACTCATAACTAATAATATTGATAATAGTAAGCAAAAAAACATATTATAAATTAAAAACATACTTTTTATTATAGTAAATAAAAAAAAATTACTATTTACATGCATTAAAATGTATCAAATTAATTTAGTTTTTATATGGAATTTAGAATCAATAATTGTATAAAAAATTAATTTCAATTTCATTTTAATAGCAGTAAAAGTTTCAGTTAGGATAAATGGGATGCATATATGCATACAGCAATTGCAACACATTAATATTGTAAACATATATTTTCTTTATGTTCTTTAAAATATTTTTACAATATATTTATATACATTATGAAAAAATATATACCTACTTAAAAATACATTTTTGAGACATATTTTAACAATATGTTTATCAGGTTTTGTAAAATATATTATAGGAAACATCATTATAAATATTTTGACAACATTTAATGTAATGATTGTTGATATATTTTTTGGTATATATTGTGGCAATATGTTTATTTTATGCACATACAAATATTTAAAAATTAAATTTGAGACATATTTCAAAAATATGTTAACAGTTCTATTATTGTATGTTTTCTAGTCTTGTAATATATACTACGCAATAGTGTTTATTAAAAAAACCAATTGTCTGGATGGACCACTTTGGGTTTCAAATAACGAAACAGCCTATGTAAAAACCTTAGCTTATTGAAAATATCATAATTGGAAAATAAAATGACTGAAAATGTAATGTTTAACTGTGAACAGTTATGTAAATACAAGACAACTATTTAAACGTTACAAGATTTTTTAATAATTCTATGAGTAGGGCTCGGGAATTAATACATTTTGCATTTTTTTTTTTTTTTTTGAAACTTTTTAGGCAATGCTCTTCTGGCCACAAATGTGTTTCAGTAGCATGTGAATCCGAATAACTAATTTTTATTTTGCATTTTTTGATGTTTATTACTTTTTAAGTCATTTTTTGACATTTTTACTTATTTCACACTAGTTCACTAGTTATCTTTTCTTGTCGACCATTATGCCGATAACATGAAATTTGTCCGATTTTATCTCGCCGATTACATTTGTAGTTGCCGTATTGTAGTGAATATTGTTATACCTAAATCTTATTATTTTTTCCTAATATTCGATTAGTTTCTGATTTTATCTCGTCGATTACAATCATCGCCTCGTTGTCATGTTACAGTGAATAATACCTATTATATCTAAATTTTATTATTTTTTTCGTAATATTTTCAAAATGACGAAAATTAAAAAGTCGATTAATGCTCGTCTGTGCCTACCAATCACTTCAGTGGATGTGAAGAGAAGTTTACCAACTGTGAATATTTATAAACAGATATTCATCGTTCATTTACTTTTGATAATAGTAAATAGTACGCTCTAATTTTACTATGCAATGAGTAATTTGTAAGCTTTGATAAATTTGTAAAACAAATGTTTGTCATTTTTGTGTCTTATTTTGAGTAATTTGTCAGTTTTGATAAATTTAAATAGATTTTTATAGTAAAATAGAGTAAAATATTTTAAAAAAAATGTATTTTTATTAATTTAAAACAAATATTTGTCATTTTTTAGGTAATTTTTTGTCATTTTTATATCATATTTGTATATTTTTATAGGTCATTTTTTAATACTTCTGAGGCATCAACTTCCGAGTCCTATCTATGAGTATACAGAACGATGTAATTTTGCATGAGAATATTAATTATTTATGTCTGATATTATAAAAACAGGTAAAACATTAAATGCTTTTTCCGAAATTGATCTTTTTAACGTGTTTAGCACACGCATTTCATCGAATATCAGATGCTATATTCGATCAAGATTAACATGAGTTAACAAAATATACATAATTTCCATGATAAATATTCAACTGCAAAAACTTTGAGTAGGTAGGTACCTTCTTCCCAGTTGGTTACAGATATTTAATTAACATTTTTTTTGTCTAGTACGAATATTTGAAAATGTTAGACCCAATAATATATTATATATGTATACATAATTTATACTTAAAAAACAAATATTATATCACTATATATTATTATTATTATTATTATTATATATTATAACATTGTAATGTTATTATACTCATTATTGATTATGCAGTACCTACTAAATAATTAATACATCATAATAAAATGTTTATATTATATTATTAGTTCGTCGTTCGGGTTTCGACGTACACCACTATGACCATCACTTTCCATGGCCAATTTTATTATGGCTATAAATACAATTATTACTTCCCCACGTTTACTTAATAATATATATTACCTACGTTTAGTGTTGTGTACTGAGTCGTTATTCGTTACTTGTGACTCTATTATCGTAGGTATAAACAATATTTGACGTGTTTTACGTTTTTATATTAAACAGAATATATAAGTATACTATAAGTACTATACACAAGTAATTAATATTTTAAAATTTTTCCAAAGTGTAACCTTTTTCTTGTTTACAGTACTAGCACATTAAACCAAGTATTCAGGTAGGTAAATATTTAGGTACTATAATAATTACAATGTATTATAATGTATTGCAATTTATGAGAATAGAAACATTGCTGTACCTATTATTCATAAATATTAAATTAATATTGTATATCAAACAGCAGTACATGTTTACCTATTGTAAATATTTTTGAGCCTATATTAATAAATAACACTATTCTAATTTATAGTAAGCATATTTATATATAATAAAAACTTTATTATAGTAACTTTTTTATACCTATTCATTATTTCAGATATGCTCCATTATTATTTTCAAAAATGATAATTCTATGGCCGCTGTGCCAAGCCATTGGTATAAAAATGGAAAATTTGCATGGCCCAAAATGTATATAGAAAATAAAAGCAAGTTAATTAAAAAGCGGTTAGCAGCTAATAACTTGGAGTTTGATTATTTTAGTGCTAGGAAATTACTCACAGAAAATCCTATAGGTAATATATTACTATAATCCATATCATTTTTAAATTTGTTTATGATTATTAGCTAATTAGGTACATATTTAAAGATACTGGGTTACCAAACTATATATAGTTATATATTAATATTTTATAATCATTAAGAGATGCTAGAGATAAAGCTGCAAAAGCACAAGGAATATCAGACCTTCACTATAAACTGCAGACTGATTAAAAAAAAAGTGCATTCCATAAAAAAAACAATTGATCTACCTAAATTTTCAGAAAAATGCGGTTTGTATTATTAAAATACATATTAATTTATTATAAAGAACGTATTTTCAATTTAAACTAATAATAATGTTTAATAATTTTAGATGAAAATACAGATGGTAGTGATGCAGCTGATAAAACATACACACCACATGCAAAACAGAATGATAACTACTAATCAATTATGACTCATAATTTAATAATATCATGTCTATATATTTATTTTATATTATAAATTATATTAATTTATTACTTCTATTTATTAATGGACATTATTGAATCCTAAACTGTATTGTAATGTAAACTTGATCCAAAATGACTAAGTAATACATGCTTAATAGTATAGTTAATTAATATATAGTAGTTTTGTTCATAAGTAGAGTTCCAGACCCCGTTTTTTAATTTAATGTCTCGTTGTTCCGACAACTCTCTTTGGGACACTAAAATGCCCCGTTTTAAAATCACCCATACAATAAAATATAATAACACTTTTTTGTATCGAGATAGTAAAACGGCATATTTTATCATTTACCTATCATTATTTTTCTATTTTTAATTTTTATAAACAGCAAATTATCATCACAATACGTTATTTTTCACTCAGAATCATATTGTATTGTAACCTAATGAGGTAGGGCGGCGCTGTAGCTATCACGGCGTATAACTTTCATAACTTGCATAAAACTTTCGATTGGGGTGCTATCTATCGAAATATAGTATTTTGGTATGAATTTAAAAGGCGTACAAACCATATAAAATATTTACTCAAAATAATATGTTTGTAATTCATTAAGTAATAATGCAATATTCAATAATTTTTTCAATTTACTTTTTATTAATAGGAAAGAAAAATATCACAATGATACTGAATTGTATAATTGTATATAAGAACCTCAAATATTTCACTTGGATGATTCTTCAACAGTATTTTTAATGTATTGGTACATCAAGCATTGTTTTATAACTGTTTGAGCTAAACTATAAATAACTCCAGATAGATAATTGGGATTAAGTATATGATAGTCTTTGAGTAATTCTTTTATAATTTTCAAGCCTCCTTCAGCAATTACAATTGAACAGTACTTTTGAGCTGAAATAAATACATATTTATATTATACAAAATCAATATTTTTATGAATATTCATGAGTTATTCTCATTTGTTACTATAAAATAAAAATATACAATTTAATAATTTTACAAGCATTTAGAACAGTGGTCCTCACTAGGATTTTAAAAAGGACCAAATAATAATTTGAAAATAACTTGTGGACATAAATATATTTTTAATGGTAATTAAAATATTTAAACATTTATAAATTATTCATAAATTAACTATAACGTAATAATTTATAATTATTATGTTACAAACAATTAATAGTTCATAAAAATTATTACATTTATTAGAATAGTACCTATTTCCTATATTTATAATAATATTAAAAATTCAATAAAAGTAGAAATTATAAAATAAACAAAAATAATTATGTATTATAAATAAAATGTATTGTTTATAATATTACACCAAACCAAATAATACATCTTTTATTTTATTTACTCTACTGAATTTATAACTTTAAAATATAAATTTAGTTATAGAGGGGACTGCACAAGATTTGTTAGAGGACCACATAGTGAGTATCGCTGGTTTAGTTTTTCCAAATACTACGAATTAAATAAAGAAAACTATAATTTGACTATTTTAATCTTATGCATTAATAATACATTTCTTACTTAATAAATTATATTTATAAATATTTTATGATACTTATTAAAACCATTAATATACTTACGGAATTTTTTGGTAAGATTTGCTAAAGTCCATACTGCAAAATAAATACAATGAGGTGTGTGCCGAATTTGTGCAAGTTCTAATATTGATTCAAAGGAACAATAGTTGACATCTAGATCAACATCAAGATTCCAATTTTGAATGGCTATTTTCATACGATATAATATTCTATATCTAAATGGTGTTCTAATAGTCCATGCTTTACGACCATCTGATGCCAAATATGCGATAATTCCAACAGCATTATAACTAATCTAATTAAAATATATAGTCTCATTTTAGATTCAATTGGTATGTACATTTACGTATATATATATACCTCCATATCATAGTCAAATGAAAATAAAAACCGTGAAATTGTTTTTACATAATAAGTTTTCATTAATCTAGGCCTAAGATTTTTTACTTGTGCAACATTATTTAACAATCTAAACATATGCCATTTCAGTATACTTTCATGTGGAAAAGACTAAATCAAACAATATTTTTAGTTAAAATAATAGTATACTAAAAAGTTATAACTTCTACCTTCAAACACTTTATTAAATATTTCAAACCATTTTCATTCATAAATCTTTCACAATTTTTCGGAGATTCAGCTGTTATATTCTGCATTGTTGACCAAGCTCCTACAAGTTCACAATTGCATTGTCTTCTATTAAGATATTGTTTTACGACTCCTATCATAATCTATGCATAAAAAATTTAAAAATATTTAACATTAATACATTAATACAGTTCAATTATTTTTAATTACTTTTATAGCACCAGCATCACCAATTTCATTTTTTTGCTCTTTATTTGCTTCAGATACAAGAGAATTTATCATATGAAATCCATGATCATGGGCATCATAATATGGAGTAAATATGAAATTAAGCAAAATTTTTGATAAACGATTAAACTCGAACATCTAAAATTGGAATATCATAGTTTTTATTATTATGGAAAGATTTATACTCGGACACAAATGACAAAAAATGTCAATAATATAAATGCTTTAAATATCAAAAAATTAAAATTAACTATCAATATAACATTAATCATTAGTGATATTTGTATACTAGTATTATAATTATAATTAAAAATATAAATATCAAGGTACTCAATACTTTCAGATTATAAGTCTATACATTTATGAAATAGTTACCTCGTAGTTTTAGATAATAAAGTTCTTATCAAACTGTGCGTCTTAAATATATTATGGATATCGTGAAATATTTATGTATAACAATTTAATTTTATTATATAGGGTGTTTCAAAAAGAAAACAGAATTTAAATCTGCTATAAATTAAATTTATTTCTTTTAAAAAAACATAACAAACCTCGATCTTGCAACTTGACACTGTGTGATTTATTCTTATAGGAATATACCAAGTCACGAGTTTACCAGAACAAAGTTCGAAATGTCTTGTAACTTAAGCAAGAAATTTGTCGTACCCTCAACAAACTTGATGGGGCAATGTATTATCCAGTGATGGTAAATTTAATGAAAATAATAATCGCTTGTAGGCTAGTAGGGAAAGTCATATGCCCGATATTATTTTTCACTGTTAAACCTTAACTTCTCCAGAAGAAAATGATATATTTGTTATGTTTTTTTTAAAAGAAATAAATTTAATTTATAAAAAATTTAAATCCTGCGTTCCTTTGGAAACATCCTATAGTTTAGGAAAATAATTCCCTATTTTTTTAACGATTTTGATACTAAAAAAAATGTCAACATCATCACAATAATTTTATAATAAAAAAGTCACATTACAAAAAAGTTTGAAAAAAACACCACTGCACTATTGTATTTATTTATTTTTTTTACATTAAGATTAACCGTGAAAACTTAAGTTTATGTTTGTAAATATACTCAACAAATATTTTAGTAAGAAAATATTTAGACTCAAATATTTATAACATTTATAAACATATAAAACATATAAATTATACTAAAATACTATTTATTTCTTTATTGAATTTAATATCCAAAAGCAAAAATAAAGTTCTTTTACTAAATTTAAAAAATTAATGAAATAATAACATATACACTATAAAAATGTTATTAAATGTATAAGCAATCTGTTTAGGTTATAAAGCGATTAAAATATCTAATGAAAGTCTAATGATAGAGTTATGATCAACCACTAAAAAAGTTTAATTCCTAATCAAAATTCAAAGTAACTTGCTTAAAATATGTATTAAAACATATGATAAAAATAATATTTATAAATATTTAGACATATATATTTAATAAAAGAGACTAACGTTGGTTTCAGTTACAGATTAGTGTGTAAAGTTATAAATTTGTATTTGAAAAATATACTGTAGATTTTTTTCTAAAAATGATAATTACCACATCTTGAGGTATCCTCATTTCAAATAAAGATAAACACACATTGCGTAATATGTATGGTGTATATTGGGGGTTTTCATTTATTGCAGTTAATAAAGCGGTTACAATTCGTCGTTTAACTGTTGTATCATTTAAGAATGGTAGATCCTTATTTCTCAATATGCAGTAAACAGTAGCACTAAAAAATTTAAAATTATTCTTTATAATCAATTAAATAACAATTAATTAATACAAACCATCCACATAATTGAATTATTTTATCATCAACAAATCTATCAAGAATTTCCAATACTATATCTGAAGCTTGATCAATTTTTGTGCATTGTTGTTTCATGAATATTCGGTGAAAATCAAATATAATATTTTTCATAAATCGTAATTTACCCATGGATGAACTAGCAGCGTTAAATAATTGTTCTTCATTAGCATTACCACTTATCTACAATAAAAATAAAAATAATTATATTAAAATTTATGATATGATAAATAAATAATACTCTTTTCGCAGGAATATTTTTCCGATGACAAGCACCATGCTTGGTACCATATAAACCCAGAAATTCTAAGGGATTGTCAACTCGATATTCTAAACCAGGAATATCAGACTTTTTGCCACTTAATGACTCGTACATAGAATTTAATGATCTACCTAAATTTAATAAAATACAAAAGAACAATTATAAAAATCTTACAATATTCAATTTATATTTGCAAATAACTAATCAGGATCAAAATCATTATACATTTATAAAAGTTTTGAAATTTATTTCTAAACATTTTTATTACTGTTTATTATAAGTTGGTTTTTCACTCATTTTTCTTTAGTGTCCTTTTTTTTTTTTCAAATAATAGAAAAATCAATATGAAATACTAATTATTTCTAAATATTTAATAATTTCTCCATCAAATTTATAAAAATTAATGTTAACCAAGAGAGTGTTGTAATAATGATTTTGTTGTCAGTTATGTAATTATACTTATCAAGATAATTTTAAAATATTGAGCTTACTAATTATTTGAGGCATAAAATAATAAACTTCATTTTAAATATATTTAGTTTGTTCAGAACTAAGATAAAATCATATATTGATTAAATTATATTAATGATTTTGTCAACTGCAATAATTTATAAAAGTTAAGGAATTAATAAATAATTGACCTTCTTACACATTTATTGAGTTTATATTTATATATAATAATTAAATATTATTATATTTATACTTAATAATTAAACTCAAATGTAAGTAAAGCATCAATCAAATCATATGATATAATATATATAATATATAGTTACTCAACTTGTAAAGTTGATACTAAAATAGTAACAGAAACATAATTTTTTATAAATGAAAACGCTAAATTTTTTTCAAAAGAAATATACTGAATCCAATATAAAATCTTTATATTTCTAACAAAGTGCAATTAGAATAAGAACAAAAAAAAAAAAAAATGCTGACCGCTGTATATAACATATCTTAATATTTAGATGGAAGATTTTTATACACATTTATTATAAACAAATTTATTGAAATCAACATTACTCCTACCATAACTCAAATAATTTACCTTTTCCAGCCAAATTTGTTCCAGATATATCTAAAGCTTTAAGATTTGGAAGGCTTATAACAATTTGTGCCAAAACAGTATCTTCATTTTCATAAAATCTTTCATGATTTTGGGAAATATCTAAATCACTAGAAAAAAAATTGTGTAAAAATATTGTAAGCATTAATTTTTTTATCAAGCCATATAAAACTTACACAAGAGATTTTAGTGAACATATACTTGAAATTGCATTATTCTCTTGTAAATTATCCACGTCAAAAAGTATCAATGATCGTATACTGGTAAGTTTGCTCAAATATTGCAGACTTCCAACACCTGAACAATAAGTAAGATCTAATATCCTTAGCTGTGAAAGATTGTCTAGCGTTGCACTTATATACTTATTGTCAATACTCTCTGGCGATTTATCAACTGATTCTAATACTAAATGTTTTAAATTTGGTGCCTTCTTACTGTTTGTTATTTCTGAAGTCTGTAAACAGCTTGAGAAATCGTAATATGGAGTTATTTTTTTATTTGGACGAATAGTTATAGAGGACAGGTTGGAATCACGTTCAAACATATTTGTGTAAGCCTTGTGTGAGATTTTTGGACAGTTTGTAAGTGTGATTTTTTTCAAGTCATGGCGTAACAGGTATTCCAATCCAACATCTGTCACTAATTTTGAATTATTTAAGTGCACTGAACTCAATCTTGTCCTGGTTGTGTCTTTAAACAGATGTGCAAAATTATCCGAAAACTCAAAACCATTGCTCTGATACATTTCAATAAGTTTATCACATATTTGTTCAGGTAAGATTAGTTTTTCGTGCAATGTATAAGCTTCCGGTGTCTCTAAGCAAATTATTTTTAAATTATGCACAACATACTTTAAACATAAACATAACAGTGATTCAGGAATGCATTTTTCTTTATGTCTGAACTCGATTGGCATACTGGTGGGCTCAGTAGGGTCCATAGTGGAAATAACCTTACACAGCTCGGACTAGTCAAATTTGATCTTTCGCGTTATGTGGATGATTAGAACAACTCGTAACTTACGATACTCAGCATTCAGACAGTAAAGATGGCTTCATTACGGAAAGCATTTAGTATACTAAACCATCACGTTTCAGTTGAACTAAACAATTTGTGCGATTCCCACGGACTACTGATATGATAAATTGTGAACTTTAATAAATGAAACATGAACGTCTACGAACAACAATCAATATGAATCACCTGTTCTGTAACCTGTTGTTATATTTTAGCGGCCGAACATATAAACCTCACATCAATGTGCGATACTGCAACCATGGTTTAAGATATACCTTAAGAAATATCATGAGCCGTGACTGCAACTAAAAAACATGTGGTTTGCAGCATAATATTGATAAAAGATTAGCAAAAAATCGTTTATACATAAGTGGTATTGCCAACTATTCGATGCCAACATCGAAAAAAAAAGCTTAAACGATATTTGAGTTATCAAGTTATACGTATGATATAAATCCATAGATATATACAATATATCTGTATATAAATCATAACGTCTTTACATCTTAAGGTGCGTTTACATTACGGCCGCGAACGCGAATGAACACGAACGCAGATTCGGCCCCACCGTGCAGACTATTCGTTCGTGTTCATTTTTCAGCATTCGTCAGCATTCGCTTGCCTTCGCTCGGAATTTGAGTTTCAAAATACTGTTTAGTATAAATGTGAACACAAGCGAATCGGTTGTGACGGGCCGAATCACGTTCACACTGAATGTCATTTATTTTGATCGAACCGCTCCGAAGGCGAACGAATGGTACAAATGGCCGTTCGTTCGCGTTCGGCGTACTGTTTACACTTAATCGTTAGTAAGCCGAATTCGCGTTCGTTCGCGTTCGCGGCCGTAATGTAACCGCACCTTTATATAGTATTTGATTTTGTACTACCGGAGATGTGGATAAATTCTTTGAATGTAATTACAGTCCATATCTATTAATGCTAATCAATCGTGTGTATTGTTGTTTCCCTTATGTTCGATTGATTTTTAGATTGGCAATTTTTTCCTTGACCTCAGAATTATGAGTTTACGTGCTCATGTATGTTTATGTGTGTATGCGCGTTCATGCGTTTATGTAGTTATGCGAATATGTACTTTCTGTTACATTTCCACAAGAGGATATCCTCCCGCTTGAGTTGTCCCCGTCTGACAAACATACAACATAGCAAATTTACTTCCAGTTCAAAAGTAGTGATATTAGCTTTAATATCAGGGTAAACTAACCTATAATTATACTCTATGGAAAGAACATATCTGTGTTTTGTTGGTCGGTTTATCCGATATTTCAATTTTTAAGCGATTTATGAGTTTTTTTTTTAGCTATAATATTTAACACACTCATAACTCTTTAAAAAATTAAAATGACAACAGAAATGCGCGTGTCGTCCTCCTAAAAGTTTGATAGTAAATTCTACAACAAACAAAAATGCATATAATTATTTATAAAACAAAATAATTTTAATTATACTTAATAAGTCTTGTTGAATCTTAAAACTTTTCCTATCTGAAATTATTTGTTAACTTTGATTAAATTGTAAATACTTGAGTGTAGACTCCCATTAAAATAAATATCACCAAACCTGCGCAACAGTATCTAATGTAATACTCATTATTTTCATAACTAAATAGTCTATTAAGTCAAAAAATAATTGCTCATACTTTTCTGAAAACTTAAATACTCTTATTTATACGTGTTGTATAATAATGTCATAATATATAGCCATTTGGTATGTACCTAGTCATGGAAGAGAGTGGTATCTTTAAAATACAATTGAGTAGATCCGTTTAACTACACGTAATATCAGTTTGCTTATTTGTTTTGTTACCGTACAACAATAGCGCCCTAACATTTCCCACTCTCTAGTGTAGTAGATATAATTGACCACCTAACACTCAAATAACAACAGGTTTACCAAACATTTACAAACTTATAAATGTTATTAGCCAAGTATGACTTGAGGCTATTATTTGGATGTGATTGCAAGCTCATTCAAGGTGAGCATTTGAACTTAACTATTTTTATTTAAGATTTACTAGAGAAATAAATATTAAATAATATACCTCTACCATACGTCTATACTATACAAAATACATCATTAATTCTACTTGTACAATACCTAATTCAATATTTTGTGATCTGAAAAATTAAAGAATATTATTATTTATACATATATTAGATGATAATTGAAAAGCGATTACTAAAATTTAATTCAATATATTATAATAAAAGTATAAGCATTCAATGTAAGGCATTAAAAATAATCACAATTTTTTTTAAGAGTTATTAATTATTTTATTATAATTTATTGCTATATTATTTTCACATAATATTATCATTGTTTTCTAATATATTTTCTATCATATCGGAACAAAATCCATTTTTAATAATTCTCACTTCTTTCAGTTGAAATGCTTCCCACAGATAATGGTAGTGTAATTTTCATTAATATATATAAGTTAGGAAATAAAAACTGAGGATTTTTTTATGATAAACATTCTGAAAAAAAAATAATAATATAATAAAATAATAGTATAGTTGGATTTAATATTGAATCCTAAATTTTCAAAGAATAATTTAATTGAATTCAATATTCAATATACTTATCTAAAATTAGAAAAAAATCCCATTATTTTCAATATTTTTTTTTAAAGATCGTTCTTCGTAGTTTTCATCTTTAGTATTTAAATTTAATTTACTATCAAAATTTATATTATCATGCTTGTGAAGTAAATCTGGCAACTCATCAACTTTCATAAATTGTTCAAAGCATCCTACAAAAGTTTTATATTCTTCTTGAGTTTATTAGTGTCCACAATATTTTTATATATACTTCTGAAAACGAAAAATTCATTTTGTATACTGTATACTTTCTACTACTACTATTACTATTATATTTCTTTAATTTGAATAATTCTTTTTTTTGTTAGAAGAGATAAATCTTTAAAAAGATCTGTTTAATTTGTATTTATATTTTCTCTGTGGTCATAAAAGCATTGTTTTATTTCTGAAATAACTGTATGTAATGTCATAAAATATATTATTTATAAGGAATACATCCATTTGACTAGACAGTGAATTATCTTCACATCCTTCATCAGACATATTCTTTTTTCTTATGCATTCCTTGGGTAAAAGTTTAAAACTCAAAATGATTTAGAATATTACTTAAATATTAATTTACATCAGACATTTTGTTCGATGCTTAAGATTAATGCTAAAAAAGCTTTAGAAGCTCTAACTTTTTTTTATTCTGTAAACAATTTCTAATTTTTTAAATAATATTATAGAATCTATTAACTAATTTTGACAACAATATGAAATAAATGAATGTTTAATATTTTTATTTTTCCCACATATTCAAGTTGTTAACAATAATTGGCTAGTACAGAAGAACTTTTAGATAATAAATAACATAAGTCTTTAAAATGTCCACATAGATTGGATTATCAATTTTAATTATACACTAAATACTAAATTGTGTGAGCTAAAAACAGTGTTATATCAATCAAATGATTAATGATTTCTTTATTTATAAGAACATCTTTTTTTTTATTAGTCAACCTGGAGTTAATGGTAGTGTATATTATCTAAATTTGTATTGTAATGATGAGAAGATATGTGAATATGATGTTTTGTGATTAATAATACTTTGATAACTTGTAGACCAGAATTGAATCCATTCATGGCCTAAGCTCTCTGAGGCATTTGCTATCCATTTCCAGAAAATTAAATGTAAAGTATACAAAACATATGATTTTTGGATATGATATCCAATCTCTTCTATTCACTGAACCATCAGGAAATATTTTTTTGTAAAAACTTGTAGTAAATGAGTGACCATTTTTTTTTTGTTTAATTTCTTTTTTGGAAGTCTTCTAAACGAGGTAGACAAAGTCCCCATTGAAAAATATTTGAAACTATTTCATAACATAGATTTTTCACTATAGTCAATTTTTCTGGATTATTATCAAATTAAATGTTTAATTCATTATCTGTCAATAAAGCAAACAAAATGTAATATTAATATTTATTATACATGTAAAGTATTTACTAAATTTACTAATTATAAAATAATAAAACAAATCATAAAATATAAAATTTAAATATAATTAACTAGTTATAACATAATATTAAATAAAATTAAATAAAAGTGCAATTATGACTTTATAAGTACATAATTGGATTCATATAAATTAAAAGTTATCAAAATATACCCTTTAAAAAGTTATAAATTTATAATATCATACTTCATCATTTTAGACATTTTCATTTAATATTAATAAATTATTAATAACGACGAATCAAAATTTTGTTGATATTTTTAGTCAATATTTTAACAAATTAGTAAATAAATAATTTACTAAAAAATTTGTTGTCATTTAATTTTTAGGGAGTTTCACAAAAATAATACGATGGAAAAGCACTGATCTAAAAAATAATATTTTTAGATCAAAATCAATGCATAAATAGTGAAAAGTTTAAAAAAAGAATTATTTTGATAATATTGAGTGATTTGAAAATTAAATAAAATAAATTCATAGAAATTCAAAACGCAGAAAAAAAATTTAAAAAAAATGTCCTTAATAAGTAGATTACTGTAAATATAATTTATAATAATTATTATATTGATAAAATATATATATTAACAATTATTATTATCTGGTATTAAACATTGTTAAATGTAAATCTAAATGTCATATGTATACATATAGTATACAACAATAGTTTTTTGTACCTGTTTGATATTTAACTATATCAGTGTCTTCGTATCGTTTATGTTGTATACCATTGTCTAAATTAGAACTGGGTTTGACCATATTGATCAAATATTAAGGTCAAACCATATTGGACATATTGTCTTAAGTTGACCTGAAATGATTTATAGTTGTAAAAATCATATATTAAATATTTTGATAATAACACAATTTTAATTTTAAGTTCTGCAATTACCAGAAAGTTCAGTTGTAGAAAGAAAACTAGATTTAATTAGACTGTAACTTGATACAGATTTAATGTAAACATAATTTTCTAAACTAAAATTTGATATAACCCATATGTCTTCAGTTGATTGGAAATGATTTATAGCTGTAATAATCATAAATTTAAATATTTTGATAATAATTAAGAAATAATAATACAATTTAAATTTTAAGTTCTATAAATACTAGATAGTTCAGTCATAAAAGGCAAGCTTGATGCAAATAGACTACAATTTGGTACAGATTCAGTGTATGTACTATTGTTTAAAGTAGAACTTAATTTAACTGGTATATTGTCAGTTGATTTCATGTTATTAGCTATAACATATTATATGTTATATCAATATTATAAAAGTTACAAAATATTCTGTACTTAATGAAATATAACTTGAAATAAAATTAATTAATTCAATTACTATTTCTTGATTTTTTTTTATAAAAACAATCATTTAAGTTTTTCATTTTCCTTTTATTTTCAATTTTTATTTTATAAGATTGAAGATGTATATTCCAATTTGAAGTATTTGAATTCATACATTCAAGTTTATAAAACTTGCAGTTGAGTTAATTTTAAATTACTAATTAAATTAAGAAAATAGTGGCACTAAACAAAAAAAATAAATTCATAAAATTTATAAAATAAGAATTAATAAATACTAACCATGTTATCAATTTAATTCTATATCTTTTAGATATCTAGTAAACATTTCTAATACTATATCTAGAAATTTAAAAATGTGTATACATTGTCTCCACACAACCAAACGGTAAATTTAAGTATTATGTCTAGCAAATAATTTCATTTGTCTATAGTGCAGCAGCATTTAATAGTTTTTCAGTAATATAATGACTCCTTATCTACAATAAAAATGAAAAAATTAATATTTAAATTTGTAACATGATAAATAAATAATACTCTTTTCACAGGAATATTTTTCCATTAACAAGCACCATGCTTGGCAAAATATAAATCCAGAAATTCTAAAGGACAGTCAACTCGATATTTTAAACCAGGAGTATCAGACTTTTGGACACTTAATGACTTGTATATAGAATGTGCTGCACTACCTAAAATCAATAAAATACACATAAAAAATCGTTATGATCAAACAGTTTTCAATTTATATTTTCAAAAACTAATCAAAGTCAAAATTATTATTCTTTTTTATATTTTCTAACATTTATTTCTAAGAACTTTTTTTTTAGCATTTAGCTCAATTTAAAGTAACATTTTGTAATAAATCATTAACAAATTCATAGTTGATAACTTGATTATTAAAATCAACATTACTCCTACCACAACTTACGTAATTTACCTTTTCCAGCCAAATTTGTTCCAGATATATCTTAAGCTTTAAGATGTAGTAGTCTTATAACAATTGATGCCAATATAGTATATTCATTTTCATATGATCTGTTATTATTTTGGAAAATATCTAGAACACTAAGAAACAAATTGTGTAAAAATGTTGTAAGCATATACTTAAAATTGCATTGTAAATTGGTAATTTTGCTTAAATATTTCATGTTTCTAACATCCAAATAATAAGAAATATCTAACACCCTTAACTTTGAAAGATTGTCTAGTGTACCTCTTATATACTTGTAGACACTACTGTTTGGCAATTCAGCGAATGATTATATCACTTTTCGTCTAGCTCATCGATTATGATCTTTGGGTGGCAGGTTAGATTAGTGTAATATATTGCATTCAGACAGAAGACGTATCTTTTGTCATGTTCGATCATTTTTGTGTTGACAGCAATCGGCTGCTGCTGCCTGTCTGAAATGATGACGGTTTCAATTTTGATTTTGATAAAGTTCGTATCTATCGTTATCAACGGGAATCCAGTGTAATTACAGATAACACTGGTAGTCACTAGATAAACCGTCGGAATACAAATTATTCTCCTTAAATTCGCATAATACGATATCTAGCATCAAGCCTGATAACTCATTCATACGCACTTATGTGTACAATATAACATATAATTGATGTCTCAACAATATTATTTGTACATGCTCTATATGTGCATAACAAAATAATATTTTCATCTGCCATGATGTTGTCTAGTTGAAACATAGATACAGGGCTGTAGCGAGGAGGAAGGGCTAGAGGAAACTACGCCCCGAGCGCAATTCCTGACAGGGCACAAAAATGAAAACATTTCAATTTAATTGTTACTTATAACTTATTACTTATAAGTAAAAGTAATATTATGTATTTATAAATATTATTATGTAATACCCAAGAATCTACTTATAATTATTATGTATATTTATATTTTAATAAGTTATTGATTTAAATAAAATTAACAAACGCTTACATAATTACAAGGAAAAATTATTATTTATATTGCGTGCAAAAAAATGTTCAGTTTTCTGTGAGTTTTTTTTTTTATAGATTAAAATACTTAAGGCCACATTTTGAAGTTTCGCCCCGAGCGCAATATTTGGTTGCTACTGCCCTGCATGAAACATACTAAATAATTAATATATAATCAATGAAATAAGTAAATATAAGAGTAGTTAATATCGTAAATATCGTAAGTACCTAAATAAACGCTCGTGTGTTGGTACCTATGAATTAAAATGCGTAGTAAATTTTGTTTACGCGGCAAAATAACGCCTGTGGGTTGCCGACCTTATAACCTTATATTATTGATAATCTTACACCAATTTAAGTAATACAAAATAAATTAGCAGTACGGATACAGCGTTTGGTTAATAAATTGAATAGTCGTATTAACCATATACAAATCAGCAACACAGAATATAAAACAACTAAAGATAAAACATAAAACAAATAATTAATAAAAAACAATTTTTTTTTTTCTGAAATTTGAATATTTTTTTTTTTCTGAAAATAAAAGTATTGACGAGTTATTTATTTGAATTCTAGAAATCAATTGCCTAATTTATTGTGAGGGGGCTTTGGGCATTCTGGGGGGGCTAAACCCCCCTAGTTGCGCTTATGATCATTATGTTGATGGCTAGATCCGGTTAGTTGCTAAATCGGTAACGTAACAAAAAAATCCGGAACGAATGGCCTCCCAGTCTATCGCAACCACCTTTCGATACGTCTATCTCACGTTGTAGAAAAGAAGATTTTCAACATCATGGTCAATCAACTTATCTATTAGATCAGTGGTCTTCAACCAGTGGGTCGGGACCCAGTTTTGGGTCGCGTAAGTTTTATGAATGGGTCGCGATAAGTTTTCTGTTTAAAACTTAAAAAATTCATATGCATATATATTATATAATGTATGTCATATGATATTGCATAAAAATGTTTTCGAATAAACCCGAAACCGTACTATTTTATACTATTATAAATTTGTAGTAGATTAGAATGAACACTTTTGTTATATACTCATACCTAAATAAAAAAAAAAAAAAAACCAAAAACCAATATACGACACATGCCACTAATCATTACCTAACTGTCGATTATGTAGTGGAGTGTACACAATATATCTCAATACACACCGACCTGAACATGCCATTCAACGTAGTAAAAGTACTTCGCGAAAAACAGATTCTGAATATTGTCATATTCTTAATATTGTAATAATAAATCTAACACCTAATTCATCTAATACGTAACATCTAATAGCTAATAATATTTCCTGTTGAAGCCTTCATTTACAAAAAAAAAAAGAATGAACAATCAAATGAAGTAATCGTATAGCGATAGCCTGACTTAATCCATACAACTCATTTACTTTTCATATATATATATCAACTTGTCAAATCTATTAAACTGTGTGAAATTGAGCTTAGGTGGAGGTATTTTGTGTGAAAAAAGTCTGGGACAAATATCGCACTCATTTCTTTTGTGTATTATAACATATACTTTTTTCGGTATCATTAAATGCATATTTTGGTATAATAAATTATAACAAAAATTAAATATTACCTAGATAAATATATATGTAGGTATATATATATATTAATTTATTTAGTTATAAAAGCACTTCTATAATGACATAAATTAAGCAATTTTAACTTTTTATTTGGTTTTCATGGCTAACGAAGTTGGCTTAAGTCACGAAAAATGTTTAGTAAGAAAAGTAGGTCACTGGTTGAAAAAGGTTGAAGACCACTGTACTAGATAAACATGTATAAAGAGGGCTACAAACGTGCAGTTAAAACTGTACGATTCGATTGTACAGTCTTATCTGTACAGATCAGGCACGTCGTCAAGGGGGGCCTTAGGGGGCCTGGCCCTCTAAGAAAAATCAGTGACCCCGAACTGGCCCCCTTGATTTTGATTTTAAAATATTTTAGTGTATAGTTGTCCTAAACCGGCTAAATACTGAATGTATATTCCATATGGACGATTGTAAACTCCGCTAGAATATCGGTAAAGATAATAAAATAATAAAAGGTGTAGTGTAAACTCCGCTTGTTTTTTTTTTTTACCTGTAATGGGTATATGTAAACTCCAGTTTTTTTTTTTGTTTACCTGCTCAGTGCTCACATTGCCACGTGCCATCTCACACAAAATACGTTGACATATATTGCAATGATGTATGTCAAAATTGATAAAATTATTGTCATGGTTCGATTCATTTCTAAGTGGATATATATCTACGAATCTAGGTCTAAATATCCAAGGACAAAATCTCCAAATTTATCCGTTTTTTTGAAAATTAGTACATTACACTATACATTCTAATACAACTAGCTCAAATATCAAATTATTTATTCATAAAAAAACCTAAATTTTTTGAAAATATTAACTTAAATATTAAATTATAAAAATTAACTCATAAAATTAATTCGACCTATATACACTGTATATTACTAAAAGTATAATAAATTACGTTAATCGTTATAATATCACAAAATCCAGGGTGATTTTTTTATCGTGAACCAGTTAATATCTCGGGAAGTATTAGGAGTTTTTAAATAATTTTTTTTTAAGGCCCCTGCAAACCCTATTAATTTTTCATCAAAACGACCTTAGCGACTGACAAAAATTAAAGTACTTCTAGTGGTTCGATTTAAAAAAATGTAAAGATGTTTGAATTGGTCAACAAGTCTACTTTGCATCGGTCGGAGCATATTTTTTATATTTTAGATATTTTTTTATATATTCAATATTAAAAATGTACAAATTTTTTAAAATGTAAAATATTTATTCTCGTCAAGCATTTGTTAAAATTGAAAAAGTGCTCCGACCGATGCAAAGTAAACTTGTTTACCAACTCAAACATCTTAACATTTTTTAAATCGAACCAATAGAAGTACCTTAATTTTTGTCAGTGCGACAGCTATTTCACGTTCATAAGTTGGTTTTGAATATTTTAATTTAATAGCTTCAAGTGACATGTGCATGTGCGTGCGTGCGGCGTGCCGCGTGCGTAATATATTTAGCCGACCGGCGGGCGGCGACCACTACACTAATCGTTTTCGCTATCGGTATTTCTACGAATGACGATAAATTATTGACAAAAATACTAAATAGGTTGGTAGATTACGGATTATACGATGAGCGTAAACATTATTTTGTTTTATTTTATGATCGTTGCCCTGAGTATACGAAAATGTTGTAATTTTCAGTTGCTTTTAGGAATAGCATATACTTCACCTTAATTTTTAATACTGTATTTCAAATTTCTCTGCAGTTGTTTTCAAAAGCGCCGTGAAAAACAAAAGAAAAATTAAGGAAAAACGGAGATTTTTACGCAAAATCTGTATTCGAGTAAATAATTTTATATGTTGGTCCAAAAAGCGTAAACATTTAATACAAGACTCCTGATATATTTTAACAATAGTAGTTGAAAATATTAAAAATACATAGACACAATTTTTTTTTATAAGCATTCAAAGTTCGAATTTTGACAAATTTTATCAAATTTATAATTTAAAAATTATTTTGTAGTTAAACATTTATAAAATGTTCAACTTTCATAGCTAAGGATTGAAATTTAAGAACAAGGTACCACGTAAGTAGGTTATTCTGTAACCAAAAAATACGACTTACCGGGAACCGTATTTTATAATATGTAATAACAATACCTATATAAATATAATATAAAATATCCACCTTACAAACCGTCTCTTTTTCGTATACAATGATATTATATCATCTTACCCACCTTTTTAACAATATTAGTTGTACTGTAGTGGATGTGTTGAATTTGAAAACGATAATTAAATTATATATTCAATCATTGAATACGAGTGATCCTGATCGAAGTCATTTGGTAAGCCATATTATAATATTTTTAAATTAGCTACCCATAAAAAAACTGATATTGTTTTTCTCCTGACAAGTAACAATAGGTTTTGTTTTATGTAAAATTATTTTCAAATAAAATGAAATAATTTAAGTACCTACCTTATCCATCTATGTTTTTTTGTTATTATTATTAATTATATAATATTATACTAGTTAGGTACCATTATTACTAATTGGGTAATATAAATTGTGTAAAGTACTTTTTTATGTATAATATTATAATATAATATACACATCTCAAATTTAATTTACATTATTTATTTTCATAATATTTACGTACTGTTATTATGTCCGACCCGCGAGGCCGCGACCGTCCATAAACCAGATAAGAAATAACAATGAATTGTAAATTGATGCGGGTCGCGGGTGATGGTAGGGGAGTATACGCACACTAATTATCATTTACTACACACACAAAGACGATCAGTGATCGAAGGAACGAAATAATTGCCTAAACACAACTCCTTAAAAATGACACATTTGCAGGGGCCTTAAAACTTTCTAGGTTTTACTATTTTACACTGTGTTACAATTTTGATAATTTTAACTTCCTCCCTTATTTGATAAAACACTATCAACTTTCGATTTTCAAATGGCAATACCTATTTTCGATAGCGAAAATGTATAAACATACTGAAAAAAATAATCTTAACATTTACAGAATTTAATTTCAATAATCCGTTTGCGACTTATTACCGTTTAAATATTCGTTCAATTTACTACTACTGGGCAATTTATCAAACCCAACAGTAAAAACCAGAAGTCAAAACGGAATGATATCTCAATTTAACAATACCCATAACGGTCATAATCTATAATAACTGTGATATTATTGCTACTAACAAGTAAATTAAATAATTTGATACTAATTTTTGGAAAAATGGATAAATTTGGATATTTTGACCGTTGGATATTTTGTCCTTGGATATTTTGATCGATTACCATATCCACATTGATTCATTTATTAATAATTTTATCTTCATATTATCTGAAATTAGTACCTATATCCAATAATTTTATCGGCAGTAGGTATACATAAAATATACTTCGACGAACATAATCATTCGTAGTCTGCGTATCTCCGTGTATATTTTATATTGAACGAAATATGTCACAACAAAGTAATAATATAAAATTAATTATTGTTCAGCGAGGCAATTTATTGGTTTTATTTAACAACTACAAATATAACCAAAATATAAAATATGTGTCTGGTGAAATAAAATGGAGATATGATATTAAATAATAATAATATTCACTTATTATTACTTATTACGTATTATTTTTAATAATATATCATATTAATTTTATACTACTACTCGATTTTTTTTCACTGGCAAAATTTACATATAATCAATTTTACCTGATTTTTTTTTTAGTGGCGGAGTTTACATACCCCCAATTTTACCTGTTTTATTTTTCTGGCGGAATTTACAGTAAAAAAAGGTACTTGTGGTGGAGTTTACATGCGCCCATTCTATATAATTAACGATCGTAAAAAGGTGTGTTTACATTAGAGTCCGAACACGAACGAACGCAAGCGAATGCTACCAAACGAATACGAACGCATATTTGCTAGACATTCGGCCGCAACCATTTACATTGTTCGCTCGTTCGTGTTAAATTAAATAAATAAATAAATTAATTAAATTAGTTTAATTAAATTCTGAGATTTTATTTTATAAATATTCGTCACTTAACAATTTGAGATAAGACAATAGTACGTGTATTAATAGATTGAAAATCAAGAATTCCAAATACGGATATCGAACGCACATTTAATAAACACAACTACAGAAAGAGACCAATAAATGTTAGCCCCCTTATAGAAATATGTCTGGTTACGTGCTTGGTACAGATAATTTTTATGCCGGCCATACACGATGCGGTTTACCAGAAAAGTTTACCTGCACAGTCTAACCTGAACAGGCAAACCGGAGCGAGTATACAAACTTTAATACGACATAATTTTTGGAACTGTGCAGTTGATCGGAAATAAATTGAAAATATATATTGATAAAGCTGCAATATATCATCTCTACATCATATCTACATCATTCTTACCAATACACCGTCAGTCTTGACTGCCAATCAAGAAGATTGTCTTTCAAAATATATAGTGTATGGACCGCTTAAGGTCACCGCCAGTCTCTCATGAGGCAATATAACATTTCTTATTATAGTATTTTGTTTTTGGATTAGTGGTGTGACCAAAGAAAGAAGGTGCAAATAGGTATCTTCATTCATCCTCAAGTAGGTAATTAATAAAATCTTTCGGAGTAATTCTCAATTCGTTTATTAAATTTGTTTGTGAATTATTCATTTTTTTTTTTTGTAACAACCATTGTTTACACCATAAGTTACGTTATTTACGTATTTTATTTTTTAAAATACACATTAATCCGAGAATCACGAGAGCGTCATCCGTCGTCGCCATGTTATTCCACTATGACTGCACGATTTATTTCGATTTTACAGTAAAATCACTTGGTTTTAACTGAAGGTGTGTATGCTGTAGTGTAAAACGATTTATATGTACAGATAAAACTGTACAGTCGAATCGTGTAACCGTGTGTACAGGTCCGTCCAGGGGAGTAGGGGGGGGAGTCAACGGGACTATTTTACCCCAGGCCCCATTGTTGGAATATTTTTTATAATGTCTTGATGCATAATAATTAATAATAAAGCCTCGATTATACTGAGCAATTTTACAGATAATTACATTGAACGATTAAATTATAAATAATATGAATAATATTCAACTCTATTATGTAAGTATTTAATGCAGTACATGCATTTAAATGATCATGTTTGGTTAAGGTTTAGAAAAATACGTTTGCAAGAATTTTTTTTATTATCAGTGAGTATTTTGTTTATCATATCTTATTATTATAGTTGAAGGTCCCTCAAATTAATTCGCCCCTGGCCCCCGAAAAACCTTGAGACAGCCCTATGTGTGTAGCTCGCTTAACCGGAGTTGTAGTAATGGCCTTCAGAGCTGTGTTCGAATATGATTAGTTAGAGTAGAGTAGAATAGTTTATCATTTATTATCAGCTGTAGATACTCTAAATCATATTACAACTAATATAACTAAATGATATATTTTTGTTATCTTAATAGATAAACATTATTGTCAATAGAGTTAAAATAACCTTTCTATTTATTTATAGGACCGTCGAAGTTAACCCGGAGTCTACAACTTGGCATTACCGAACGGTATCGCGGAGTTAACTCTGATAAGCCAGACGACGTTGGGTTACTCCGAGGTAGAGTTTTCGAACGCACTTATCGCAGTGGCCTTATCGCGTTATCAAAAATATTGTTATTAGAATTCTTTATCGCGTTTTTATCGCGAGTTGTTTACTCTCATGCGTTGTTTTTCACTGTTGTTCCGCGTTCGAGATGCAATCAAATGTTTAGTATAATTACAATGAGAGGCTGTTTTTGATTAGTAGTAAATTCGTAACAAATAATTCGAGTTTTGTTTAGCACGTCTTGTACCGTCGATTTGAGAAGGTATCCAGTTACTATTGTACCATTTCCAGGCCCGGCTCAAGGGGTAGGCGACATAGGCCCACGCCTAGGGCGGCATTTTTCCTGGAAAATTTTTATGTATAAAAAAAAAAAAATGATAAAATATTTACACGTAAGGGGTGGCAAAAACTAAATTTCACTTTTGTTTGTTTGAACACTAGAGCCGGGCCTGACCATTTCTGTTACTGGTCTCTATATTGTATCTTCTGGTCACCATTCGCTTCCACATAATTTATCATGGTGTGTTTGTGTTTACGAAAGAGTCAGTATGTGCAGCTGTTTCCCTGGTGGGATCTGGGACCTGCAATCACAGATAAATATACTGACTTAGAATGTATATCTGTGACTGCAATTTAGATTTGGTAAAAATTATAATTTTAAGAACGGATATTATAATGCAATCATTTATATGCTGTATTTATAATGCAATTATAAATTTTAATTTAGACTCCTTGACCTTGAAGGTCTGATCTATGTTACAATACATAGGACCAATATCAAACTCTGGTCTACAAGGACTGCCATTGTGATGAAACATCTTTGTGTAGGTGTACGTCCACTATCGCATTAAACTATGACAAGAAGAATGGCATGCACTTGTTAACTATTATTACTCGTCATGTGCATAGACAGTTGTAGTAAATTCTTTTGCTGTTTGCAGGTTATTGAGCTGTCATTGAGAGGAACCTGGATTGAATGGTGATACACAGTGTCAGGAAGGCTAAGGTGTTGAACAACAGTATACACTTGTTCAACAGCATAGACTTAATGTCTGTTAGCAGTTATATAATAACGTGTGGTTAGTATGTATTATAAAAGTGCTTTCAACACATTTATCTCAAGCAATGTATGATTTAAAATTTAAAATTCAATGAGTTACAATTAAAAATTTAAGTAAATATTATATGTGTAGATATTATGCAATATAATTTTTTTATCATATTTGACCTTTGGAAAAAAATATTTTTGATAACTCATTTTAGTTAAATTTAAGTTTTTTAAAAAATTTCGAGGGAGGAGCTGTAGCCCACTAGGCCTCCCCCCTTTAAATGCCATTGGTATCACCCCTAATACAAGAAAACAAATTATAATACCCCTCCAAAATATTTTTAGTATAATAGTGTATTGATTATTGAATATTTTTTTTCTTTTGTTGTTTAGCCTTAAATAAATTTCAATGGATATCCATCACATTTTAGATGAATACTAGATAAATTTTTTTAACTGTCATTAATAAAACAAAATTAAAATCATAATTTGGGAAATTAAGTAAAACACTAAAACTTTTTGGTGGAAGTAATGGATCTATATGGTCCGTTAAGCTGTTAAGAAGAAGAAGAAATAAAACTTTTACAATACCTTTTTTTTTATAATAACAAACAAATAAAAGAGATATGATTATAATAAATATTTTTACATAACGATTCTTAAAGTCACTATTTTAATTTTAGATGTTTTTATTACCGAAAATAGTATTAATTTTTAAATTTCTCATTATCAATAATTGTTCTGTATACATTGTAGGTACATATAAATCATGGATTATTTTTACGTAGAATAACTATAAATAACAATGAACACAAAATAGGTATATTCTAAGAACAAAATGCTAAGATGGTAAAACAAAATTATAATAATTATTTGTAACATATCTGTATATAAATTAAAGAATTTTTTTTTTTATATTAATATCAATGAAATATTTTTAAAAATATTACGAAATTTGCCATTCCCTAAATGTTGACGTCCTAGACAACTGCCAACTTTGCTTATTGGGAAATCTGCTACTCATACATTATGTTATTATTATACATACACATATCTTAAATATTACTTATCTTAAATCTCAATAAATATTTCTAATAATGACTAAAACCTTATGCCTATCTTATGAGATTTTAGATTCTTAAATTGATAAAAATATTATATTGATGTAGTAAAAAAACAGAAATTTGATTGCTTTTGATTCTGATGATTTAGTGTTGACAGTCATTGCAAATTCTGAAACAATTAAAATGTCTTACATCAGGTAAATAAATTGTTTATTTAGTTATTTGTTTTCCTTTATTTAATTATTTTTAACTATGTTGTTTTTATTATAGAAATATGGAGATCAAATTATCCATTACTGGAAATTATCATTAAAGGAAATCAATTGACTGGATAGACCTCATATTTACTCCAAATGACAAGTATTTGTTTATGCTTAAATAATATACTTATTAACAGATTAAATTATGCCACCTTAAAAGGTATATATATGTTACTGGCAATATGGATAATTCAAGATTTTGCAAAATGCCTAAACATTATGTAAATTGCCGACCCATTTTAGGCAATGTAAATAAAACATGATTTTCAATATTATTTTGCATATAACCTAGGTATATTATAGAATACCTAGGCATTACACAAAATGCCAATTTTTTTTTTAGGCAAAATACAAAACATTTTATTATATGTTATATTACATTAAAATTCTTATAATTATTATACATTATTACTCATATTACAGAAAAAATTTAATTTTTATCTTTTATTATATTATAACTATTATATAAATATTTTACTTAAACTACTATTTATTTATTATAGTATGTTGTAGAAAAGTGACATTTTGAATTGCACAAAATGTTATTCTTGAGGCAAATACACTTTTTATTTTGACACTTGGATTTACAAACACATTTCAAAAATCCTTGGCCAATTCTTGTGGATTGAATTTTTATCACCTCATACTGTTCGTCAGATTAAAAACTAGTATTAGTAGCCAAATTTTTAAAAAAAATTTGTAGTTATAAAAATTTGATTTCACATAAATCGTATGCAGTTGCAAAACCAAAACAAGACACGAAAATGACGAGAAAAATTACGATATTGTAATAAAATTATTAGTATGTTCAATATTGTATCTCAGAATTATTATTATAGTAGTAAAATAATATTAATCTTTATTGCCTTAAATCGTGAATGCACATTTATGATAAACGATAAGTAAAGTTGTTGGTAACAGGCGATGTCCAATTTTGTTTGTTTTTTTTCATATTGACTACTCTACGATTATCATACATAATACCTAGGCAAAGTTCGTATTATGTATATTGCCAAGTGATTTTTGCCATTTTGCAAAATACCAGATTATTCATTTTTCTGGTAACATATATATATATATTCATGGATGGAATCTAAAATAAGTATCTCAAGTTTGGATATTCAAAAGTTATAATACTGGTCTAGTTCACTGAATTTAATTCAACTCACAATACTTGATGACAGCCTCAAAATGTGCAAATATGAATCGTTAGTTGCCCAAACTGACATTAGATAGTTTTCCCTTAAATTAAATTTTAAAATTATCATAGTCTACATCAGAAATTTTAAAAATTTGATGTATTATAATGATATTCATTAAAACCTTAAACTTATTTATATTTTTTTTGATTTAGAATTATCTTTTTTACAAAAATTTTAAATTAAAAATAGTAAATTTTGTAAATCTGTGATTTATCAAAATATTTAATCAATATTTAAAAAATATAACAGGTACTTATATGAAAATTGGCTTTACTATTACTTAAATATTTATAATTAATAAATATTAAATGTATGATAATATAAATAATATGATATAATATAATGTAAATTTTTTTCAATTATCTAACAGTAAAATGAGGGGTGGAGCACTGATAATATCGCCTAATCAGGTGGTTATTTTTTTTGGAGGAAACTGTTATCCTATTTGTTTACTATATAGCAGGGGTAGCAAACTTATGGCACGTTGACCAAATTTCAATGGCATCAGCAAAAAATTGTACTCAAAAAAAAATTATACTATTTACAAAATGTTGGTTATAAAGAATTCAAAAAAAACAAATTATATATTTTTGTATATTATTTTTACTATTTATTTATATTTAATGTATTTTAAAAATGACAATATTCCTTATGCTTACATATTTTGCGTCAACTTATGTTTGTGAAAACCATAACAAATTAAATTAAATCGAAGGAAATACATTGTTTGACCAATGAAATGATTGCCGCTTGTGTTTTACTAAGATTGACTAAGATTTAATAAAAATAATGTAATAAATCTGTAATTTTATTTTCATTCTTAAAAAATATAATTTTCTTTGGGTACGTGAACGATTTTAAAATCCTTAATTGGGAAAATTTGGCACTTGAACCAAAAAAAGGTTCGCCACCCTTGCTATATAGTAATTATATTCTAACACAACTTTTCCAACGAGTGACAGTTATAGTTTTGTTTGAAATTAAATCTGAATTGAATATTGCTAAAATAACATTGATGATTCATTTTTATTCGTACATTTTAAAGCCTATCAAAATTTAGTTAAATCAAGCTATAAACAGTTAAATGTTACACCAGATAATTTTTTCAATTATTATTATAAACTTGATTATATTTTTACAGACAATTTTTTCTTTACTTTCTAGAAAGCATAATATAAGATTGAATATAAAAAAATTGATAGATTATTTATTATTTACACATCCATGCCAACATTTTAATTTACATTTTCTTAAAAAAAATTTTAAACTATTGAGAATTTTTCATATAATGACAAAGTTAAATAAACAATTATTATCAACTTTTAGAAATTATAGAAAATTGGAAATTCTTTCTGACATATAATAATTTCTTAATTTTAAGTGCTTTTTTTTTTTTTTTTTTTTTATGTAATAACTACTGCAGTATTAATTTTCTATTTACTACATAAGACTTATAGATAACAATGAGTTGTCACTTGTCAACAAGTCCGGGCCGACCGACCACAAGTAGGTCTCGAATTTTAAAATAATCAGAAATCTGGGTTTTTATGTTTTCTAATATCACTTATTAGGTAATATTTTTTTTAATTTATAATTTCACAATAATAATATTAATAAGTATATATTTTATACGGGCAGCGGCCCACTGAAAAATTTCTCAGTAACCCGGTCGTTTAGTCTGCCACTGATATAAGTACATTGTTACGAACATGCATAAATGTAGGTCCTTACGAATAACATTATGGGGGAAAGCCACATTCCAAATATAATTGCCTTGGAATAATTATTAAATTACCGATAGTGTTAGGAAGGGTTGCAACTATAGAAAATATGTAGTAGACTCACAAGTGCCAAACCACCTTTCACATAAATAATTGCATTTTATATTTTATCATATTACAAATAGCACATGACGAGTTGTCATCGATGAATTATAAGGAAGTTGGCAAGCGGTTATTCCATAAACAAAAATTAGTCAAACGAATATAATCCAGGATTGAGACCACAGTAAAAAATAATTAGTTTTCCTAAAAGTAGGAAATGAAACCACAATCTAAATGCTTATACCTTCTTGGAAAAACGAGTAGCAAGGATTTCATATGAGATGGAGGTACGGAACATACCCATTTCAGTTGTTGAATAAATTAATTATTTTTACTTAAAATATTTTTTATATTGAATTATTTGGACTTTGAATAATAATATTAATTACAGATATAAATATTATTCTTCAAATAAATTCTACAATGACTTGTATACATTTTCTTTAGTAATTTTAATCCTTTTAGGACAATTTTCTTCCTCTCCTGTTCGTTTGCCTTTCTTCTTAACCTTCGATTTAATCCATTTTGTTATGTTAATCTTGTCAATTGGTGGAAAATTAAACAAAAAGTTCTCAAGAGGTTGTCAAAAGTAGAAACACCTATAGGACTATACAACCTAAATCATTTCAAAATGATATACCTAGTTATTTACCCATGATAATTATCTTAGTCCGTAATTGTCGTCAAAGATAACCGTTTTCTGGGAAAAAATAACCATTACTTCGCAATTTGTTATAGAAAATAGAAATAAATGAAAACAAAAACCAAATACACTGTTCAAAAGTAAACATCCCCAGGGGAATTTCGTTTTTAGCGTTCCTCGCTTAATTCAATAAAGGGGGACGTTGAAATCTATGGGAAAATGAAAGAGGACTCCGTCCGCCGGCGTCCTTCCCCGATTCGAGCACTGAAAACGATTAAGAACATTGGTCGGTAGGGCAAAGAAATAATATTTTGTACCTCATATTCAAATGATTGTGAACGATTTTTCGAGCGACGAAAATATCGAAACAAAAAAAAACATAATATCGTTTATCTTAATTTTTAACAATAAAGATAATAAATACGATATCGGTAAATAAGGTAAATAGTTATTAATATTGTCTATGGTCGTAACTTGTGGATAAGCCAAATGGTATATAGTGTACAGTATTAGTATTTATAATGGACAACTCTTTTACAATATAAACTGTTTTACCAGTGTATTAACAAAAAATTATATATCTTTTCACGCATCAAATGGTGAAAATGTAGGTAAGTAATAATAATAATAATATAATTGTCCTATTTATTAGCATTATATTAAATTTTAATATAAGGTATACAATTTTATATTTTTAATCAATGCAGCAACATTGCATAAAAACTAAAAGGTAAAAATATTCTCAATTGTGCTTTTTTAAAAAAAAAAAATAAAATACAGCTAATAATAACAAATCTGCTAATCAGTCCTAACTTACTATAATTTATGTTTGTGTAACAAATAAAACACATGTTGGTGTAGTGTCTTCATAAAAATCTTAACAATCTTTGAAATTCTGAGCCCTATAAATAATATTTTAAAATGTATGTACAAAAAGTATACCAAATTCTATTATTAATTCATTAATTAATAATTATTTTTCTTAAAATAAAAATATTCATAGTTGTGAAAATTATTACAATTTTAATTCGCAATTTTTGAAATGTATTCACGTTTACATCCACAATTTATGAATATATATTCACATATTATACTATATTAAGTATATATTAGAGCTATTTTTCAGTACTTATTTTATATTTTTTCAACTATCAATTATTAAATAATATCAAATATACATCATAAATACAAGTCATGAAAGAGTTGTCATAATTTGAAATAAAATTATTATACATTAGTTTAAAATCTCTTTAAATTTTTTGGTTATAAACCAAGTATATTATCATATTTTTACTTAATGTCAAATTTTTTTTTAAAGTGAAAAAATGTTTTAATTGATTCGATGAATATAATTTATACAGTTATTTGTAAACATCAATTAAATTTACATATAAAAAAATTAAATGCCTGATAAAACAAAACCTTACTTTACTTATTATGATTTAACAATTGTAATAACAAACAAAATTTACAAGTTAATTATACTGTATGTATTCATCAATGATCAGGGTAAAATAAAAACATAGCTATGATATATGTAGTATGATTAGAGTAATCTTACACAGTGGCACCGAATCCTATATTAAGGTAGAACAGATGTCCTATCTCATAATATTTCAGTGATGGGTAAATTGGTCCAGTAGTTGGGTCAGCAAGTCATCAATTATTGTGGATTATAAACAAATATGGTTGGTAATCAACTTGTTTATGCACTCTTTGATAAGTTAATTCAAGTATCTTATTTATCTAAAAACATTATTTATGTAATGCAAATATTACTAGGCTCTAAATTCAACTGTAGGGGAGGTGTTCAAGTCTCATAATTTTATGAGCACAAATCCTATTAGAATTGTTTGGTTTCGGAACCACAGATCTTACTTACATATTGAAGCGTTTATTAGAAAAATTTAAAATTTACCTGGAAAAAAAAGTTTTACTAGCAGCAATGACATTTTTTAAAGCATTTAAGACAATACATGCAGTTTCATTAGAAAAAAAATTTGAGTTGGATAATATAATTGTTAAGGCTAAAATAAATTGACTATGGATTTATAAACTAATAAGTAAATATTTATTTATTAAATTATTATTAAGCAATGTTGAGCTACCTATTTTATATTACTAAATTTTATGTTTATATATATATATATATTAAATTTTATGTTTGATAAATAAAATCTATTGTTAAAATATTTGTAAACATTTAACAATATGGAGACAGTATACTAGTTGTAGATAAGCTATAATAAATTTTTATTAAAATAAAATAAGGTGAATTAAAATAAATCTTCAATTAAATATTATAAGATTAAAATATATTTACCTCAGAAAAACAGTTTTGTTTAAATATGCTAACATTTTATAGCTTATTACAATTTTAATATGAAATAATAGAACTATTTATTTTTATTTTTTTTTTTTTTTAGTTAATAACATACTTATCATATTTATTTACAAAACACTTTTGCTCAAAGGGTAAACCATTTTGCAATTTTTGCATAATTTACACTTCATTACTAATTATCAATGTCTTGGTTATACAACCTGCTACTCTTTTGGATCTACGATTCAAAAGTCATACATTTTGTTATTATTCGAAATACATTAATGCATTTAATTAACGGTCAAAAAGTTATCTAAAGTATGACCTGAAAACTAGATGAACTTCCTCAACAATAATTCCCTGTCTCGTGATAATTATTGTTATTATCAATAACAAAATTATTTTGTTATTGATGCTAATCTACATTTAACAATTGAGCAGAATAGTGATGGTAAGAAATAGCAGTATCGGTGTAAATAGCACTGCTATTTTACATAAGCAATAGCAGGCTGCTAATCAAAACAAATTATAGCAGTAACTGCTATTTTATTTTTTTTGATATAAACTACATTGATGACAATAACAATATGATATTTGTTACACGAAGTCACGAACTAACTGCCTGACCCTGCTAAAATTGCTGTTGCTATTTGATATTGGGTATTGTCATCAGTTTTTATATTAAGAGTGATAACATGATAACATAAGCTAGCTGTTGATAGGAAAGGAACGGCATGCTGCCATGCTTACATAATTTTATATAACATTTATAATACAAGCCACAAGGTAGGTACTTTATTTTGAAATTCTGTAATGTGTTTAATATTAATAAAAATTAATAAATATAATTATAATTTTAACAATGAGAATACAATTCTAATAACTTATGTGTTTTGGTTAAGGAAAAGCAACATTTCTGTTTTTTTTTGCTGCTTAGATTACAACGCCGATCACTTAGGAGTATTCCAGCTTTAGAAAATACTCTTTTACACGGCATGGATGTTCCAAGAGCACGTCAAATTTTTCTTGCCAATTGATTCAAATAAGGATAGTTACATTTATTATCATACCACCACTTAAGAGGATCACATCTATATTAATAATTGAGTCCTTTAAATATCGCTGTACTTCTTCCATAATGGCTCTAGAAGTAACTGTGCTTGTATATTGAAACTGTGCTACTTTAAAATCAATTGTTTTCCAGATAGACAAAACATCATTTCCAATGTTTCCATCAACTGGTTCAGGTATGGAATCATAATTATTTTGAACGGCAACATTTCAAAGTTGACTTTGAGAAATAACTGGAGCAGTTAACTCAATTATATAATTTTTTGTTGACTGCTGCATTGAAGATAATAGTGTAATTGCTTAAAATTGAGGATCTAGAAATGTACACCGAACCAACGTTTTACTATTTTCTATTGTACCCCATCTGTCCCTATGTTTCATGTTATTTAGTAACTCTTGTAGAACATTTATTACTTTTATTCTAAAATTGTTTTTAATCATCTGCTCACAAATATTTTTATGCCCTTGAGCAATTACTATAATTATAGAAGTGGTCATATACTTGCTGCCACTAATAACCTTTGTAGCTTCCTCAAAAGGATGTAGCACTTGAATTAGCTCTTTAACAATTGTCCATTCATCTGTAGTAAGCCCATTAGGAGGGTTATCTAATAATCCTAGAATACCTCTAATCACATCCTCTAATTCAACAAGATGATTTAACATATATGTTGAATTCCACCGTGTACTAAAGTCTTGCAACAACTTCTTTGGTACTTTAGATCTGTTGAATCAGGATTATTAATATTTGTCTGTGGTGTTATAGATAGCGATATAGAAGTTGAAGGTATCCTTTGAGGAATCGGAGCTGAGGATGGATCATCAATCAATTGGTTATTTTCAACTGTCTATAGAAATTTATTTAAATAGTATTTTATATGTAGTGTTTTTATTTTAATTTGCTTGGTTTGTTATTATTATTAATGTACAATTACACCTAATAAACAATTAAATGTAAGTAGTCATTAAAATTATTAATTTTTTGTATATAATTTTCTTAGGAATTTGTAGCTTATATAATAAGATATATTTCATTATAATATTTAATACATTTAATTTTATTAGAATAATTGATTATAATATTATTAAGTACAACATTTTTTGTTATTTTTACTATGTAATTATATTTTATATTGCGCAAGTAGTCCCTTGATTCCAAAACAAATATACAATATTAATTATTAATTAAATATTCAACTTCTGTATCAGTTTAATCGGTATAACATTTTCAATTTTTTTTTTTTTTTTTTAAGGAAAATATATTAATTAATAATTTTATAAGGTTATTATGCCTCCCCGTTAATTTAAAAATTTAAAATATTTACTTGATTTGCAATCATTTGGATCCACTGTGCCTTAAGAAGATGCATTTTTAAATTGGTTACACTAGTTTTAAATGTGCATTTTTGTTTACAAATGTCACATTTAGTAAAAGTAGAATCATCAATCACAGAAAAAATGTAACCAAACACTACTTATTTTTCTGTTCAAACTCATTTTTATTATTATAATATTTAATATATTATAGAACATCACTAATACTTCACTGCAGAGTAGAGTTTAGTAAGAACATCTGAATAAGGTATAAGTTTTGTATTTGATTTTCATTTCTATTAAGATTTAATGTAGTATTCTACCTAGTATTCTAGTGTTTATAAATAGGTATTTACTATTTATCTTAAATATTATATGATATTAGCGTATTACTATCTTATTTTATTTCATTTAACTCATTTATTTAATTTAGAAAATAAGTTATATAGTCTTGCAAAATTATAGAAAATTATCTATTACCCATTATGCTGCTATTATTATTTAATCTATTCTGTGATAAACCTGCTATTAGCAACATACATTAAAATAACAACATTTAGGTGATTTTAAGAAAATAGCATTAGCAGTTTACCATCACTAGAGCAGAGTTTGATGCAATTGTATATTGTTTGTGTGAACTAGTTCACTTTTAAATCGTTCATCGTTCATTTTATCAAAGCAACAAATAATCTCGTTCGCTGAACGATATTCATTACATTTCGTTCATTGATAAGAATGATTGATAAAAATAAACGAAGTTCATTGAAGTAAAAACGAACGAACGACTTCTTAATAATGAACGATGAACTAGTTCAATTTAATAAACGGCCTTATAAACGAACGTACAATTCGTCATTGATCGATCGATTTGTGATTAAATTGAACGATGAACGACTGAACGGTTCACCTAGGTGACGAAAATTCCCATCACTATTATATTGTGTTTTGTGTATTAACTTAAAATTAAAATGGTAGCAGGTATATTGTAGTACATATGATAAGAGTAAGTAAAATATATAAGAAATAAATCATCAGCATTATAAAGATTAATAAATATTTATAGATTTTAATATTATTATAAAATGCAAAATCCTTTTCCTCAGCGAGCCGTATTGAAAAAAATAAGTAATATAATATATGTAGTAATATAGTATAAAATATATAATATAATCGTATGAATTATTTTGTTTATTTTAATGATAATTGATAATAGGCTTTAGATATTACACTTCATTTAGAAAAGTGATGCTTTAGTACGATCCGATGATCAATGCAACCACTCGGTACAATAAAAAAAAAAAAATGGTATTTAAAATCTGACCGGGCTATACTATATCTTGGGTCAAATGGTTCATTTTATTAGCTATTCTAATGAACCGGTTGGCCGGTGTGCAGTACGTCATAGTTCATGCGCACATACCTACACGGCACACGTGCATCGCATCACATCGCATCTATCAAAAATAATCGTCAAAAACACTAGTCAGACATGTGTATCCAACTTATCCTGCGCTATTTGTACCGGATGTATACAGAAAAAAATTCGTCTTCTTCTGCCGAAAAAATAACAGTAAGTTTTCATTATTGGTCTTTTAAAATGGGTTAAATGTTTATCGTTTTCTTGATCTCTTTCTCTCTCACTCTGTCTCTGTCTTCCTCTTTCTCCCTTTTTTCTCTCTTTCCTTATAGGTAGTTTTTGCTGTGAATAACACAAATGTCGCCGAATACATATGTTACATATACTATGCTACGCTTCTTTATAATAAATTGTTGTGATGACTTTTCCCTCTGCTTCCAATCACTTGGGTAAATCAAGTTTTCGAAATCTACCACCGCCGTTTCTCCTCCCGATCTTATTAGATTTTATCAGTTTTTTTTAACATTACGTAAAAGTCAAGTATTACCTTCTCGTAACATATAAAAATCTTTTATGACCCATTCATTCTGCTTTTTTCGCGTGTCTAATCCCCTCATATTCATCGATTTTTTCGAAAAAATCCGTTCTCACAGTCCCATTGGATTTACCTTTTTTTTTCCAACAACGTAAACTAAAAACACCAATTACGCTCTCGTAACATAATTATAATATAACCTTTTTTTTACGTAACTTCTTCTTTCCATTATGTTCTTCATATTTGTTTGGCGATGTATTCTTTTTATATCACTGACCTTTGATCATACAAATATTTTTGCTTTTTACTTACCAAAGGTCACCTTGCCACGTTCTGTAAGCATTGCTTTTTCCGGTCATTACGTTATAATGTTAATCTGTTATGTGTGTCCTTGCTTTGGAGACCGATTTGACCTTTACCGCGCGCGTTCGGCAATATAATGTATTAAGGAAGATATCATACCGTAGAGACGGCGTAAAAAATAAAAAATACACTTGTAAAATGTATTATCAAGAAATGAGTAATGAGTACGCGCGTGCTTCTATATAACACTAGAGAAATTAAATAGAAACACATTCTTTATAAAAAATGCCCGTAGCAATTAAAAACAGTTAACCATAACGTTTATTCGTTTACTATGTTTACTTAAAATAATAAAAAAAAGAATTTTACAGAATTTACAAATTTTACATTTGTGTTCGGGCTCCTGACGAACATTTTTTAAAAATATTTACAATTTTCGCAGCGCTGAGTTTGCTATACATTATAATAATTTACAATATCTACCCATATTTCACGCTACTAATCGTCATCACCGGCTATCAAATCAATTTATTTTAACTATAGTAAAACCTCGATAACTCGAAGGAATGCCTTGGCCCCGGCCTTTCAATATATGATATGTGTGATAAGTTTTCTCGATAATTCGAATTTCGCTAACTCGAATTTCTCTATAAGTCGAAATATTTTTAGTCGAATTTTGGCTTATAACTCGAATTTATATAATAATATATATATATATACATAACACGTACATACCTTGATAACACAAAGGTCAAATAATCAAGTGTATTATTATAAATAACGGTAATCGTAATCGAAAACTGATTAATATTATCAATCTAATCTTTTCCTAATGCTTAAAAGGTATAGTTATAAATTCAACGATATAATACGATTTAATGTCTATATCTCCGATAAATTACGTTTACTTACTACATTTATTGTACATTTATTATTGGTAAAATTATACGTCGATTGAACTACGAAATGTATACGTCAATATTTAATATAATGCTGTCACAAGAGTCGGATATTGATGAAGATGAGGAATTGCCTAAAACTACTCTTGCCCAGGTATTAGATAATTTACAGGTTGTCCGTAAGTACATTCAAGAACAACCAGAAATTGGAGATGAGTTTTTTTCCGCGCTAAACGTTATTGAAAACTTTACAGATAGATCAAAAAACAAAAAACAATTAGAAATATCTTTAAAAAATAGTTTTACTTTAATCATTATATTTTCTTTATAACATACAATTTATACATATACAATGTATGTATATATACATATTATACATATTTATTACTTTATACCTTTTTAAAAATTTTAATACAATATACATACTTACATACATTATAAATTTATTAGTAAATATATAAATAAATAAGATTATAAAATTAACTCTTTGTGTTTTATATAAAAAAATATTTTCAGTAACTCGAATTTTTTTTTACCGATTCGAGTTATCGAGGTTTTCCATAAGTCGAATTTTCAATAACTCGAGTTTTTTTTTTTGTCCCCAACCGATTCGGGTTATCGAGGTTTCACTATATTTGAATCAATGAAATCTAATGTGAGTTAATTATTCAATATAATTATATCAATATAGTTTTTTGAAAAATTAAGAAAAATAGAAAATATTACAAAGAATTTCAACCGGAATCGAGATTCAAATTTGGTATCACCTAATATTTTTTCATGAACTATTTTTTTTACCTTTGTAGATGATTTTGACCAGAATAGTTACTCATATCATCACAATCATATGAAATTTCTGATTGGAAATGTTGTCTATTTGATACTTAAAGAGAGTATTTCATTTTATAAATTTCTTAACATTTTTCTTAATTGCGAACATTTGACGAAATATTGCAAAATAAATAAATAATTATGGAAAAATTGACCGCATACTTATTTCTGATATAATCGAATTTTAGTTTTCACTCTAAAAAAAAGTAATAATCTAAGTAACTTGAAATGTTCACTGATTCCTTTTATCAGTTTGATAAATTAGCCAATTTTTTTTAAATACCCTCAACTATATTTAACATATTTATACATTCTAGTAGTTCAGTTTTCGATTCTTCAAAATTTATAAGTTTATGGGTGACTCAGATAGGTGCAAAATGAAATAGCATTGTCATTTAAACTTTTGAACTATCATTTTGCATAAATAGATCGAAGATGATTGCAAATCGCTACTTCTATCTAATGAACAACTGACCACTTTGATGAAAGATATGGATGTCGCCATCAAGAATGGTCTACGCAAAGAAACTTATCCAAACTCTATAGTCAAATGCTATGTCACTTATGTACAAGATATGCCCAATGGTACAGGTAAATACATTTTGTTGGTAATTTGATTAAACAAATACGTTAACAACAATTATTTATTTTATTTTATTTTTCAGAAAGAGGAAAGTTTTTAGCTTTGGACTTGGGTGGTACCAATTTTCGCGTATTGTTGATTGAAATGGGGGAAAATAATTACTTTCATATGAAATCTGATATTTTTAAAGTTCCTGCTCATATCCAGACCGGCAAGGGCTCTGAAGTGATTAAATATAATCATCTTATTAATTACTTACATCTGTTGATACTCAAAAAAGGATTTTTTTTTTTTTAGTTATTTGACCATATTGCCAAATGTCTGGCAGAATTCGTAAATAAGTACAATTTGGACCCGAACAAGCCATTACCATTAGGCTTTACATTTAGTTTCCCTCTCAGACAAGCAGGACTTACCAAAGGTTATTTATGCAGTTGGACTAAAGGATTTAACTGCTCTGGAGTAGTCAATGAAGATGTTGTAAGGCTTCTTAAAGAAGCCATAAAAAGGAGGAAGGTCAATAATGGTCATATTATTTCAAATATCTCATGTTATTATAATGTTAATCTGTCAACTCTATAATAAGAGATACTTTTCCTTAAATATATATTACAAAATCATCAGTACATTTAAAAACATATTATAATTTAAGTAATTTAGGTCTGAATATTTAACAGTAGTTTTAAATTATACAGTGAAGCCTCCACTAACAAACACCTCCTAATAGCGGACGTTTTTTGGGGAACGAAGACATTTTCACTTCTTTTCAATGGGAAAACCTCCGAATAACGGACACTATTTAAATATATTTGAAAATAATACGTATTCAAATTCGTATGTACTCTCGTAATAATGTAATTACGATAATTAACTCATTATGGGACTTTAAGATTACGACTCTTTGAATGCTTTGTTTGGTATAAAGAGCATAAGTCATTTTATTTCGTCAATAGAAGTAAAGAGCAGTTCTAATTACTAATAACATTATACATACATACATACATATATACATACTACATTATTATATAAATAAATTTCAAAAGTATCCCCTCTGAATAATGGAAACCTCCGAATAACATACAAAATGTTAGTGACCGGAAGTGTTCACTATTCAGAGGTTTCACTGTATATGTTCCTCAAAATTATTTAATAGTTAAAACTAGGTACTTAGTTTCTAAATATATGCTGTTTATTTAGGGTTACTTTGATGTATAAGACACAAAATAATATTAATTAATATTAATGTTCTATAAGTGTTTTAATAGTATAATATTATATCTTGGTACTTACTTTTAAACAGGTGTTTGTGTAGTATAAATAAAATGTACATGAATGTTCTATAATTATTTTAAAAACATGAAGTATGTATTGTCCTTATACAAAAGTTGTTTATTGTCGGCCAATTGAAATTTTTGCTATTTTTTATTGGTAATCGGTATAATATATTATCATAAGATTTTTCTTGAGTTTATGATGATGGTCTCATACTATATTAGTTTATAGTTAATTAATTAACACTTTAAATTTATATTGAGGATATATCTGTCTATAATAACATACTAATAAAAGTAATAGAAGGTTTATTTTGATGAAAATTAGGATGTTGAAATTGATGTATGTGGAATATTGAACGACACAACGGGCACTATTATGTCATGTGCTTGGAAGAACCCAAACACTAGGATTGGACTTATAGTTGGTATGTTCAGTATATAGAACTTAGTAGATAGATTTAGTAGTAAGATTATGTTGAAGTACATTAAATGAGATTTTTTGTTTATTGGTTGATTACACAATAAAATTGGCAAATTTTTACCATTTCTCTTATTGTTTTTAACTATTCATTTTTAATATAATATTTTATGCAATTAAATTAATCATAAAGAATTGAATGTGCATATTTATCTAGTTAATTCATTTAAATAAACTTTATACAAACTATTTTGGAAAATTAAATTCATAAATGTTAACGTTTATTATTTATTTTTAATGGACAGGGTATTTTGTTGTCATATTTTTGTTTTAAACATTAGTTTTCTGATTCAAGGAACAGGATGCAATGCATGCTACATTGAAAAAATCGAAAACGTTGAACTTTTCGACGGCGATCAATCGAAACCATATGTAATCATTAACACAGAGTGGGGTGCATTTGGAGATGACGGAAAATTAGACGCTGTCCGCACGAAATACGATCGGGAAATCGACGAAGATTCGTTAAACCCAGGTCAACAGAGGTATGTGTGCGCAATTGAGCATATGCAAATATTTACGTCAATTATTTGTCTCGTATTTATTTATTAGGGGATTTATATATTTTAGATTTGAGAAAATGATTAGTGGTATGTATATGGGTGAGATCGTAAGGTTAGTTGTAGTAGATTTTACAAATCAGAAAAAAACTATTCAATGGACAGCTGTCCGAACAAATGAAGACCAAGAATGCTTTCTGCACTTCTTACATATCGGATATTGAAAGGTAACGTGAATGGATAATAACGATGTGTTATGTTTTCTTAGAATTTGTACCTATTAGTATAAACGTTTCAATGTTCAGTTACGCAATATAATGTAAGATATTACATGTTTCCGTGCAGTGATAAAGCTAACTACAAGGAGACGTTGAAGGTCCTAGACTTAATGGGCATCAAAAACCCGTCCTTGGTCGATTGTGCTAACATAAGATATATTTGTGAATGCGTATCCAAGCGTTCAGCATATTTGGTTTCCGCTGGTCTAGCCGTATTACTTAATAAAATGGACGAAAAATCAGTTACTATTGGCGTCGATGGTTCTGTTTACCGTTACCATCCATTCTTCCACCAACTTATGGTCGAAAAAATCAAATCACTCACCAAATCCGACATTAAAGTGAGTGTACAAGACTATTATTACGCAGTAATACTTAACGATTTGTTTAATGTATATTATAATGAACTAGTGACCCACTGAGTCTTAACTTAAATGTAAATCACGAGTTAACGACCTAACCAAAATTAGTAAGTCGTAAAAATAAGAATATAATGGTAGTACATGATCAAATATAATAAAATACCTTACCATATGATATGTATTTTTTAATTAAATTCCTAAGTATAAATGTCTCTCAATACACAGTCAATGTATGTTGGCACCGACTGTAATCGATGAGACTGGCGATAAGCTAATCTGCACGGTGACGCCGATCCGTTTCTTATGTTTTTTTCCCTATTTTATTGTATTTGTGAATCTTATTGTCAATCAGGGGCGGATCCAAAGTCGGGGAACTGTGGATCAAGCCATTTCAAAAAACCATTTATTTGGGATGAAACTGAATTAGAAATTAACACCTTGTAAAAAAAAAAAAAACACAATATGCTCATAAAACTGTATAAGTATATTTATATTACATTTTAGAACTAGTGATAATGACCTATTTACGATTAATAAATATAATCTAATTTGATCTGCGCATCAAACGTACGGAATAAAATATGATTTACTTAACTTTTTACTAAAACAATATAATTTAAAATATAAATTATGAATTGAAAAATTTTAAATTTTGAATATATATGGCATTCATTTTTCAAGTAACTACAATGGGTCAACTGTCCAAGAGTTCAAATCAAGGTCTAAAAAGAGAAAAAAATTTCTAAGAGGCCAATTTTGTCAACAAATATTAACTTTGGGTCAACTGACCCCCTGAACCCCCCCCTAGATCCGCCCCTGCTGTCAATCTAAATTAATTATAATATTGTAAGGTTATCGACCAAATTACAATTTTGTAATCTTTTTTCTTTTCTTTTTTTTTGTATATTGGCCTTTTTTTCCTGGAATCTATCTGTTGTCGATTGTTGTTCGCTTAGTCATTAATACTTATTTTACATTTATTCCTTTACTGTACTCGCAATGCAGCGATACTTATTATTATATTTATCTGCCCTTGCGGGCAACTGCTTACTATTATTTATTCTCTTTCTCGCCTTCGATGCAATTTTAAAGTTCCCTTATGTGTGTTTTATTTAATTTAAACAATACAAACCAACAAATATCAGCAACCACCAAGTTACCAGAACTTATTTACTACATTGTGTGTCCTGTGAGTTATTAATGTTGTATGTATTTCGTTCCATTCATCATCGTAAGTGTCATTATCCATCCGTGATTGTTATTGTTTCCTTGGACGTGTAAGACTGCCAGCACTCAGGCGTGGTATGTGTGAGACCACCCAGGTCACCTAGAACTTCACGTTCTTTACCATTTATCGTCACGTAGTTTAAGTTTAGTTTATAAGTATTCATCCGATTTGTATGAGCTCTGTGGTTATTACAGATGACTGTATATGTCATATGTCATAAAAGATTACAGTATACCGATCTGACCACAGAGACCTCCCCCTACTGATCAAACTCTGTTTCTTTCCGTGTCGTATTCACCGCCGTTGTCAGAGCGGTCACCGCCCAGCTTGATCAGAGGCGGATTTTCCATTAGGCACTGTAGGCAGCTGCCTAGGGTGGCAAAATTTGGGAACGGCTAATTTTGTAGTGTTTTATTAGAAAACATCAAATGTAAGCAAAAAAAAAATGGAAAATTATCTACTTTATATTTACGAAAAATAATTGTATACAAGTAATAATGGGTGCATTTTGTTAATATGTTATCGTTAGAATTTCGGAGAAAAATAAATACCCTTACTGCTACACTATATTACTAATTCGACTGTGTATTAATAATTCTATGCTGTTATTATGAAAACCTGTTTTTATTAAAATTTGGGGGATGCCCATTGATATTTTTTCAAAGTAGACTAATTAATAAAAGCGAAAAAAATAATCTAAAAATTCAAATGGAAGTAGGTACATACGTTTATATATTTAATATTTAGATTAGGTATTTCGGAAGGGGTTATATAACTTCTTCGCCTATTATAAGGGCGGCAAATTGTTAGTGCCTATAACCGTAAAAAAAGAAAAATCCGCCTCTGAGCTTGATTGGTTATTTGTATAGATAAAAGGTGTTCCAAGTAGTAGCCAAACTAGGTGAAGTTTGGGCACAATTGTTATTATAATTTTCATTCTTATTTTTATATCACTATTGTTAGTGGTCCCTCGTTCTTCGTTGAGGGGGCTGAAGCATGATCAATTTTCGTTCGGAAATACAGCTTTCGACTTCAATCACTACTCTCAGTGAGATGTTCAATTTTGAAAAAAGATTTGGATTATTCATCTAATTATCTATGCTTTAATAATCTTATTTTTTATTTAATTTTTTTTTTTTTTTTTACTCAGAAAATGACTCGAAAAAAAAAGGCAAAAATAGATCATATTTACAATTCAAATTTAAATATATTGAGATTGAATTTAAAAAAAATGAGACTGCAAAAGCATAGTAAATATAGCAGATAATCAAAATCTGTTTTCAAAATTAACATCGGAGCATCCTATTGAGCATAGTGATTGAAATCGCCAGCAATATTTTTCGTAAAAAAAAAGTAGTTGTAATTTTATACGAAAAACAATGTTTGACATGTGCATGCGCGTAGGTACCTGCTCACTCTAATAGCCCATGACTTAGGGGAATAGTAAGTTCCTGCACAAAAGTAGCAGGTAAACAATTACATACGTTAGTTCCTACACGGAAATATGTAAGTTCCTACACGGTTAAAACTAGGTACGTATGTTATTTCCTCATGGCGGAAAAAATTAAATATATATATAAAAATCTTCAAAAAAACAATGTATAAGTACCACAGCATTAACAGGCGTATCGTTGTGTTGGGTTATTTCTTATTGAAATGTTGAAACATTCAAATACTAATACTATATTAGAGTATTGTACAGTATAGTATATATATAGAGTATAGTATATTAATGTATCTGAAAACATACGAAATTACGGAAAAATACAACAAGCTACAGGTTCATAATAGTATCCCGACTCGGCGCGTCGTAGAAAAGATAAAATATCATAAATAACATCTTATTATTACGACTTTTCATTACGGATAAAAATGATACAGAACTTGATTTTGGTTTGATAATCTTATAATTTGTTATAACCATACACCGTAAAATGTACAACTAGCTTAAAAGTATTGTGAGTAAAGTTCGAATCATCCGTGTGTCCGTATACACGTGTGTCCGTATATCTGTCACCATGAACGAGAATATATCATTCGTGTTGAGTGAAAAAGGCAAACAACTGCTGGTTTTACATTTTTTACACATCATACATCTAAAAAACAATGAAAGTACGTGGCGTTGTGTATATTATTTTTTTTTTTTTACCTAGTTTTTACCGTGTAAGAACTTACATATGTACATTTTGCTACCGTGTAGGAATTAACATACGTACCTAGTTTTTACTGTGTAGGAACTTACATTCGTCCACAATTTAATTTGTATTTTTCCGGGAATCGACTATAAAACTGTTTATTATAGAGGTCGGACATGTAATATAATATAGTAATATAATATAATATGTAGTCCGAATTATTCGGTTATGCCCATCACTAGTTTAGATCTTTGGATTGTTTTAAATATTTAATTGAAAACAAATGGTTTATAGATAATGTAGACTAATTTACCATTATTCATTATTTTGATTATCATTGTAATTTGTAGTTCTAAGAAATAGTATTGCGGTTGATAAGCGGGCGGGGTACCACCACGCGATAGCGAATTACACACATTAATACCGGGTTCACACTATTGCTTTTTCCCGCATGCTTATTTTTACTCGTGCAAGAACTAAATTGAACAAATTTTAACGCTGATAATACGCATGCAAGTTCTTGCATGCTTAAACTTGCATGCAGTCCAACATGTCGGACAGAATTTGTATGCAATTAGGTAATTGTATGCCAGTTTATTCTCGAACACGAATAGTTAACTGCGTGATCAATGTGATTGTGTTTTATGAACTTTTAACATTTTTTTTAATAATAATAATAATAATATTAATACAATAATTAATATAAATTATTTTATTATATTTTATAAGCTTCTTGCTTCTTTTTTAAGATTTTTTTTACGAAGCATATCGCAAACAATAATTACACCTTTTTTTTGTTGGATTCATTTAATATTCTCGTTAAAAATTTAAAAAAAAACAGTATTTATACTCGCGATCAGATCACTTTTTAACAGTGGCGTACGCAGGGAGGGGGGTTAAGGGGTTGTATTAAATACCTAGTATCATTGATTATAGAATAGTCTATTTTATTATCAATGCTATTATTTAAGTCAAAATATATTAAGGATTTACATAATTTTGTTAATTGTAAAATGTGTTATATTTTTACCTTGACCCTCCCTGAAAAAAAATTCTGTGTGCGCCACTGCTTTTGAAACTAAACTATATTTAAATACATACAAGACTAAAAATATAAACATATATGTGAACATGCACTTGCGTATAACTATGCGTATTCTTGCTTGATATTTATTGTAAGCAAGTCTATAATGCAAGAAATTGCAATAGTGTGAACCCGGTTAAACATTCATTTACTTCTCAAATATTGACACGTCCCAAATGTAACTGCTATACGAAATACCTAAATATTACTCCTTAAAACGTGCTTCGCTCCAATCCCTTTAACCGACAATGTATACCAAAAAATATTATTCAACAAGATATGCAGAAATGTTTAAATTTTTATATGTAAAAATTTCCCTTTGCGACAGTATTCACATCTATACGATACTTACCTCACAATTTTTTTTTTATCTTTTCAGTTTGACTTGATGCTGTCTGAAGATGGAAGTGGTCGTGGAGCTGCTCTTGTTGCTGCTGTAGCGGTCAGGGATGTTTTACCATTTCCAACTAAATAATTATCATCAAAGAATGAATGTAGTTGTGAATTAGTTGTTTAATATATTATTTAATTTGATATATTGCATATTGTTTGAGTTTATGAAAAATATTTGTTATTTAATTTAAATGGTTGTCTTCAATCGACAAATAAAAATTGGTATTAATATGAGTTAATGATATGTACTTAAGTATAATGACTTTGCATTTATATTTAGTATATGTATACTTTTTATTGTGAGACTTAAAAAAAATGTGTCATTTTTACCATTATTTGAAAATAATAAATGTATTTTTTATTAAACTAACAATTTTAATGACTTGTTTATACAAATTTTGATATTTTCCAAGTTTTTTTCATGTCGAATAGTTTTCGTATAAATAAATTGAACAATTATCATTATACTCATATGAATGAAAAAATCTTGGTCTCTTTTAAAAGCTATGAAAATCATTATGGTTCATAATTAACGCTAAGATTATCTTCACACAACATTTTAAATTGTTGGATAAAACTATCCAACGATTGCAGTACAATGTCAATCAATTGAGACTCAATAAAATAAAATAGATAAACTTAATTTTAGAAAATGTTTCCATTGTTCAATGGAGGACATAATTCAATTAAAAACTATAAGTCCAATAAGCTATTGCATTTCACTAATTAGCTCGGTCTAAACTTCTAGACTTTCTTTCAATTTTATAAGGAATCTTAGGTTTTAAGTGACTGCACTATTTACACTTGTGAGAATCAGGTATTATATTCTGTGTAAATTAAGAAATTGAAGCGAGCTTAAGGCTATATTTCCTTACATGGACTAATATTATTTATGTTATACTTCTATTCAAATGTATCTTTAGTGAAATAATTGGGTTGATTATGTAAGTTGCCAGAAGCGAATTATACGTAACAAATAACTTTCACCTTTTCCAATTAGACTGATATTACTTCAACTTTCCACAAAAATGTTCTCAATCAAATATATATACTAACTTCTCTATTATAATATTTTGTAAAAATAAAACGTAAGATAATTTATTGTTATTTTTTTAATACATTGTAAACTAATATACCTTAGATTTTTCAATAAATCTATTATAGATTCGAGTTTTTTTTTTTACCATAATAAATTCCTATAAAGGCCTTTCCATACTAAATACGTCGGCGTCCGTTGCAATGACATACTGTTAATAAATTCTACATATTTAGATACAATTCCACACAATGGATACGACGCGTCAAAAATCGGCTACGTCCGTACGGTGCCGTCGACATACTCTAATCAAAACACTTATTGCTATTTGAAATTAATTTTATCTTCGCAATATAAGAAAAATATATTATATATTATTATATTCAATGTTATAATCATTAAGTATCTATTATACTATACACCGAAATAATTTTATCTTCGAAATATATAAAAACATATTCCAATACTCGTAATCTATATAGTACGACCACTGAGAGAGCGCTACTCCTTCGCGATACCTTTACTACACCCGTATTTAGATCGCGTACATAACGTCATATTTATGTTTATTATAAAACTACATATAGCTTAAAATAATCAAATTACGATCCAATAGTATGTATCCAATAATAAATTACGATATTTGCACCACGCATTCTGTCAATTCTATTTCAAACGTCAAAAAGTTACATTAAAAAAAATTTATATTATCTGAATCGCTAATGTTAGATTAGAAATAATTTTATATGGTGGTTAGATATTCTTAAATCTTCTAATATTTCGTGCAATTTTCTTAATTTTTCTTTCATAAGAACCTTCCCCTAATAATAACAAACACAAAAAAAAAAAGAATTAGCGAAATCGGTCTAACCGTTCACGCGTAATGGTGTGGTCAAGGGAAATAGGGAATCATTTTTATATAAACCGAATCAATCTGCGTATAAGCTCAGCTATTTTATAAATAAAAACTATATTGAATTTATATTATGATTATATACATTCTTTATCAAAATCTATATTTTATATAAATAATTTAAAAGCATTATGTGTTTTAAAATTATATTTTTTGCTTAAAATAATGAAATTATTATACTATTAGATATCATAAATTATTGACTTTTCTTATAAGGTAGCTTTGTGGTCAATACTGAAGTACCATATAGACCTCGATGTAAGTAAATAAATTAAATAACGGCTCAGAATCTAAAACCTAAAATTATGTGTTATTAGCTTCTTATATCTCGATATATAAAAACTTGTATGTTGGTACTATTTCTGGTGAAAATTACAATTCCTATTTTTTACTACCTGATAGTAATACAAATTACATATACTTATTTTGGAGTAAATTACAATTGCATTACAAAAAATGTAGTATAAATATTTTTGGGAAAATTTTGGTGCAAATTGACTACAGCCGCTCTTTCTACACTAAACATCTTCTCGATATGTGGCACCATGGAAGAACAATGTATAAAACTTTATAAATAAATATTTTTGAATGTGAAACATCTTATGACGCGGTATGAAAGTGAGGCCGAATAATGCGGTGGCTCGTCGACTCAATTACAGTATATCCCCTACTCCTTCACCGCACTATCAATTTGCGTACTACAGGCCGTGTTCTCAACACAAGGCGGCAAATGTAAATGGTATCTAAAATGCATTGGACAAAAAACTATTCTATTTTTAGAAAATGTACACTAACTAAAAATTTGGTGGTCAACAGTTCTAACCACTATGTCGGAAAGAGTTAACACGTTGCCTCAGTGGCGCAACTAGGGGTAGGGTTTGGGTTTGTAAACCCCCCTCCTCCCCGACATTTTTTTGAGATTTTTACAAATTCTATGTAGGAAAAAAATGGTTTATCTTGAACACACGAAACGGCTGATTGATATGAAATATGAATATTATTCGTATTATAATTGATAACAATAATAACATGACGATATGGAACGTTTTGTAACATTCCATTCAACTTTAAAACATCAATAACCTTGCTACTATGATTTCTCGATAGTCGATTGTATAATACTTTTTTTGTGATATCACAATATGAAATAGAAGTTAAACAGTTTAATTTGTAATTTAAATATTTAATTCATAAACCTAACCAAATCTTACTTCTTTATCCCCACCAAACACCTACAGAAAATATTTATTTTTTCCAAATTCACAACCCTCCCCGAAAACCAATCCTGGTTGCACCATTGCGTTGCCTCATTTACCACCTTCAACGCCGCCCGTGGTTTCGAAGGTTATGCCGCCCGTGATTTCGAAGGTTACGCCGCGACGCCGCGTCGAAAATGTGACGTGTTTACATGTCGATGACATTATAAGCATAAATCTATTGATTTATAAAATGTTTTTACATTGTGTTAATAGTTTTTACAGTTTTTAGATCCTTGGTACCCTTTATCTTTATTAAATACTAGTACCGAATACTAAGTACTAGATATTATTACTTACGTAATAAATAATAATTAAACCAAAATCAAATAACTTGCCGTTATTATTATTATAATCATCCATCTCTTGCATAACGCAAAATAAAACAAATGAAATAAATCATCCAAACCAGTATAAAAGTAGACATATTCATGATGTAAAATGTTCTATAAATAGTTCTAAATTTGTACATTTTGAAGTATTAGTGTCACAAAAACTAAAACCAAAGATTAAATAAAATTTATTGTTCAGAATTTATTAAAATAAAATGGCTGAATTATAGCAGATTTAAACGTATACGTTTCAGACGTAATTTTTAATTTTGGTATTACATTAATATAAGAGTATATTGTAAATAAAGAATAATTTTTTAACTTTTTGTCACATTTATTTCCTTTGATAAACCAAATAGTTTCGATGTTTCACATCTGCCAGGTGTTCCGCAACAGCTCATTTATTTTTTTTACTTTCGACCGCATATTCGTATGCAATATAAAAAAAATTGCGGAAATTGCAATGCAAAGATTCAATCGGGATATTTAAGTCTTTTGTCGAGACGTAGGGACAAATAGCTCAATAACGGTGGCAATTCCTATATATATCGAGACAGATGGCAACCTTAGTTTATGTATCAATGTATTTAACTTCTTAAATTATAATTTTTTTAAATTAAATTTCTCAGAGTATAAGGATAATTTAATAATTTAATGGGTAAGTCAGTTTTGCGTCGAGACGAGTACCATATTGTGTTTAGTTCGTTGACAAAAAACTAAATAACTATTTTTTTCTAACGAGTAGTAAAAAATTACGTGAAATCGATAATTTTCAAGGTTTAACATTTTCAAATTTGCGTATTTTTGGTCGAAAAACCACGTTAGATAGGGTAACCGGATTTAGACAAATAAGTCGGGAAAAAAAATGTTAATTTTAATAACTATGAATAATAGTGATATAAAACAACACTACGCAATATGACAAAAAGAAAATATACTATGGTAAATAAGCCGAGAAAGACCGGAAAAAATTGCAAAAAACTAAATCGTCGTCCGCCGAGTGGACTTAGGACCATAGTTTCCTTTTCAAGAATTAGCTATCTTGCATTAAATGTTAGACAACGATATAGGAGAACGAGTGAATAAAAATAGGCTATATAAGGACTAAATAAAAATTACATGAATTGAAAAATGCCTTAACTCAAAAAACAATTGTTTTACACAGATTTATTTTTATACCCTCGTTTTTTAACAATGAAATACATTTATTGAAGAAAAAAAAAAATTTTAAATTCTGAGGTAATTTATGAGTGTTAATGTGAGACTCAGTTTTGCGTTGAGTCAAATAGTAAATGTGTCTAGTTCGACAACAGAGTATTAATTATATAAACATTTAAATAAATATTTGATATGTAGAAATAAATAAATAAATGTGTCGTCTGGAATATTGAGAAATGTGTATCGAGTTATACGATTGTGATTTTTGAAGTGAAACTTCTTTAGCGGCATTCTGATATTCGGAGAGTGAATTGGGAAAAATGTAACGTTTTAAGATTTCGTTTCACGAGAGAAAAAAAAGATATAACACAGGGAGAACGACAAAGAGGAGCTATACATAGAATAGATAAAGCGCATGCGGGCGTTGTAGATTACGCGTCAGACGCTACATAATATATACAGTATATTTAGGCCCGGTGCACACTTGCGGTATCTTAACGCGCGGCAACGCTGCGGCACCGCAATCGAGGGGTGGAAGGCCCGGTGCACACTTGCGTTATTTTAACGCGCGGCAACGCTGCGGCACCGCAAACGCGGCATGGAAAACCCAAAATTTAATTGGGTAATGCACACATCACAGCGGCAACGCTGCGGTGACGCGCGTCCGTCTGCGACAAAGTTTTTGTCGCAAGTTGTTATCGCACCGCAGCCTTCACTTGCGGTCGCTCAATTCATTGTATCATATTGGTCAGTGCACACTATCGTCATTTTGTACACAAGGTACGCAAAAATAATACGTTTTCTTTTATAAATTTCCATCGCTTGTGTCAAATCCATACTGACAATATATGTAAATAATAATATACGTAAGTGAAAACTGCAAAACTGCACAAAAGAAAAGTGTTATGTTTGCGTTCCAACGTCGTACTGACCGTACGTATGTATGACGTTATGTATATAGGTATACATAACGTTATGTATATGTATATAGGTATGTATATTTGCCGCTAGGTGTGCATTGAATACGGCGTCATCGCCGCGGTGCCGCGCGTTAAAATAACGCAAGTGTGCACCAGGCCGAAAACTCACGATTTAATTATGTACTTGCATACATAACAGCGACAACGCTGCGATGACGCGCGTCCGTCTGCGAGAAAATTTTTTTCGCAAGTTGTTATCGCACCGCAGCGTCACCGCGCACACACACTTGCGTTCGCTCATTAGTCTATGGTCAGACTGGACCCGGCATCGGCCGAACATGATTGAAAAAAACAAAATATTCTTTTCATCCGACATCGGCCGTAAACGACTGAATTTCTCGGATGTAATGTGACTGGGTACAATTGAATTTTATACTTTTATTTTTTTCGTCCGTGTTCGGCCGAACGTTAATTCGGCCGATACCGGGTCTAGTCTGACCGTAGACTTACATTGTATCATTTGGTCAGTGCACACTATCGTCATTTTGCCATTTATAACGATTTTTAACGTGTTTTATAATTCGTAAATTGCACATTCGCACAAACAGCGCCGGCGGAAGGGCAGGGCAGAAGGGGCAGCTGCACAGGGCCCCACCATTTTAGGGGCCCCGCGCCTAAAATGGCATGTAATAATTTTTAATACTATAAATTTGTTTTTAATATTAAAAATACAAGTCCCATCTGTAGTGGTGCCTGGGTTTTTAATGAAGTGCATATCAAAAAAAAAAAAAATGTAACCAATATATTATATTACGAATAATTTTATGAATATTTAATTATAATTTCGATAGAAATCAGAAATGCGATTGTTGTTTTAAATTTTTTATTTTTATTATTAAATATTTTTCTTTTAAACCAAAATTTCCGGCCGTGATCGTGATAAATTTCGAAAATATATTAGTGGAAGTGAAAAAAGAAAAAAGAAACAACAGAGAGAAGAGTTACAGAAAAAAGAACGTGGCACTTTCGATAAATATGTTATTCGATCAAACGAAGTTATTGAAGTAGCAAATACCGTAATTTCCACATTAGATGAAACCGATAATCATATAAATATAGAAAATAATTTAATTGAAAATGAATTAAACTTTGAATCCGATAATATTGATACAGATAAAATTTTTAATGTTGATAAAAATACGTCTGAAAAATCTATGTATAATACTCATACTGATTTAGAGAAACAAATTACTAAGGACGTTAGCTCCATACTTGACTTTAATGAGCCGGCAACGTGGCCAGAATATACAAATAATGACTTAAGAGCTGATTTTGTAAAACATGGAACTATTAAAATAACCAATTACAACTTTCCGTATAATGATGATAAACCATATCCAAGAAGCTTCACAAAACAATATTATATTCATAGTATGGCGAATGGGGAAGTTGTAGACCGCCAGTGGCTTGTGTACTCAAAAATAAAAGATCGAGTGTTCTGTTTTTGTTGCGTACTATTTAGTCAAGGAAATTCAGAAAGTAATTTAACTAATATCAAGGAAGGTGTAAACGATTGGAAGCATTTGTCGCAAAAGCTTTTACAACATGAACGTTCTAAACCCCACTATTTATCTTTAAAGCAATGGTATGATTTAAAAATAGGTTTAAAGTCATTGGCTACTATAGATCAACAACATTTAACTCAAATTGAAAAAGAAAAAAACCATTGGAGAGCTATGCTTCAACGAATTTTATGCATAATTCAGTACTTGAGTAAGCACAATGATGGATTTCGTGGGAAATCCGATGTTTTATTTACAAAAAATAATGGTGAATTCTTAGGTTTGATTGAAATGTTATCCAAATTTGATTCGGTTACAATAGAACATATACGACGCATTAAAAATGTAGAGACGCATACTCACTACTTGGGACATGATATTCAAGATGAGCTAATCAACTTGATGGCAAATGAGGTTAAAAAAAATATCATAAATGAAATTTAACAATGTAAATATTATTCTATAATAATGGATTGTACTCCAGACACCAGCCGCCAAGAGCAACTATCTATAATGATACGCACAGTAAATATGTACGAAAATGATGAATTTTGTGTACCTAAAATAAAAGAATACTTTTTAGATTTTATAATTGTTGAATCCACTACTGGACTAAGTCTTGCCAATGTTGTTTTGGGAAAACTGAACGAATATGGTATACAAATATCTAACTGTAGAGGTCAAAGTTATGATAATGGGGCAAATATGACTGGGCAGTATCAGGGTGTTCAATCGCGTATTCTTCAACTTAATTCTAGAGCTTTTTTCACGCCTTGTGCATCACACAATTTAAACTTATTACTTCACGATATCGCAAAAAGTTCAACTAAAGCTATTACATTTTTTGGAACAGTTGAAAGAATATACACAATTTTTTCCGCATCTACTTCTAGATGGGATATTATAAATAAGCATTGTCAAATTATGACTGAAGAAATGGTCCGAAATTCGCTGGGAGAGCCGCCTTGAAAGCGTTAAGGCGATTCGATATCAAATGCCTGAAATTTTAAATGCATTTGAAGAAATATCAAATACATCGTCAGACTCTTTAATAAGAAGTGAATGTAAATCTTTAGAAAATGAAATCGGTAGTTACGAGTTTATTCTAAGTATAATTATTTGGTATGATATCTTAGTAGAAGTTAATACAATAAGCAAAAGTCTTCAGAGCCCGAACATGGATTTAGATATTTCAGCTAGTATGTTAAGTGGGCTACTATCGTTTTTAAATAACTATAGAAATACTGGTTTTAAATCTGCAAAAACAACTGGTAGAGGCTATAGGAGTTTCTATTGATTTTAAAAAAACCCGTATACGAACCAAAAAAAAAATATTTTCATATGAAGCTCAAGATGAACCATCTAAAAATGAAGAAACTATTTTTTACCAAGATTATTTTTTAACTATTGTTGATCAAGCTATCGTTTCCGTGAATATGAGATTTTCACAGCTTGAATCGTTTAATAATAACTTTGGTTTTTTATATCGGATTAACAAAATAAAATTCATGAAAAAAGAAGAGTTAAGAAAATGTTGCCATGATTTACAAAATGTTTTAACTGATGGTGAATTAAAAGATATTGATGGTTATGAACTTTATGAAGAATTACTTATTTTTTGTACTATGATTTCTGAAGAAACTACAGCTTTTCAAGCTCTTACAGTACTAAAAAAATGTTGCGGTTCTTTTCCAAATATTTTGATTGCACTCAGAATAATACTATCAATTCCAATAACATCTGCTGGTGCGGAAAGGAGTTTTTCCAAATTGAAAATAATTAAAAACTACTTAAGGAGTACTTTATCACAGTGTAAACTTACAAGCTTGGCTACTCTATCGATTGAACAAGAAATTTGTGACTCATTAGATTTTAATGAGCTGATTGAAATTTTTGCTTCAGCAAAGGCTAGAAAAAAACAATTTTGATGTTAAAATGTTGATTTTTTTTTTTAATTTTTGTTAGTTAATTTGTATTAATTGTACCTTAATATTTGATCTATACATATTTTATTTTAATACGAAAAATGTATCTGTGCATAAGCAAAAAAATATTTATAGTTAAAATAAAATAAAATATTAGTTAAAATAAATCCAAATTGAAAATTGTACATTTAATATACTTTGTTTAATTGTGTACATAAAAAATAAAATATTTTTTAGGGGTTATGTAAAATAGAAAAAAAATGTATTTTTCTTCTTTAATTTGTATAGGGCCCATGAAAAAAATCTGCCCTGGGCTCCGCAAAATCTCCCACCGGCACTGCCATTAAGGGCCGGTATTCAGGTTGAAGATTTCACACATATTTTAAGTTTTCGTCGACAAACTTTTATCCAACATGACGACCTTAATAAACTCCCGACTTCCATGCTTTTAAATTACGAAGTCACCAACTACAGGATCTTTTTATCAGATGACTCCCTAGCCTGCTACTTATGTAAGGCCCTAGGTCACATTGCGTCTCATTGCTCAAACCAGATTAATTCGTACAACACAATGCCACAAGTAAACAATGATCAACCCATTGCAAACACACCGTCTAAATGCTTTTTCAAATACACATAATACCCCTATAGTACCTACCTCCAAATCGGACACCGACACATCTCCATTTGAAACACCCAATATCGCTTCTAAGCCATAGGTGGTCCCAGAATTTTATTTCAGATGCAGCACTTCTAATTTACACATATAGACATACACATTCCTATACCACACACACACACAAATAGAATATATATATATATATATACAAATTTCATTCAATTTTCCTACTTGGAATTTTATTTTATATTATTTATTTTCAAGTTAATTAAAAAAAAAAAAATTACTATAATTATAAGTAGGGCGCGGATTTCAATGCAAAATGCATTTTTTTTGCTTATTCCTTACGCAATGCTCAGTTTGGAAAAAATGCGTTTCAAGTGATGTAGATTCCTATAGTTCAATTTTTATTTTGCATTTTTTTGCATTTTTTGTCGTTTTAACTTCTTTAATGCATTTTTGGTTATTTTCGCTACTTTTAAGGTTTATTATTTTCATATTTTTGAAAAATGTAACATTTTTGGAGAGAAATAAAAAAATGTCAAGTATTCAATATTTATCTTTTACTAAATTATTGAAAACTACACTTTATCGTCTGTGTCATATATTAATTATGACAAATGACAATAGTCGATAACAATAAAACGGACTACGTGTGTATAGTGTACATAGTGGGCCTAGCCATACTATTAATAGTCCCGTCAATGGACAGAATTTCCGATTTTCAACGAAATATAGTTTTATTTATATCGTTCTAATCAGCTATTTCTATTATTGCGATTTCTAGTATTCAAACGAAAACAGTCGTGTTTTACCGAGTTACTGTCGTGTATTGTACTCCGTGCGTTTGACGTTTGTAAATAGCAGTTTTATTTATTTTGGTAGATATAATTAAGTATTTTTCACATTTTTAACACTATGCCTAAAGTTAAGCCTTCATCATCACTTCGTTTACGTGAGTATATAAACGAATTTGGTGATGATGTTTTTTCGACCGACGGAAAAATTTTGTTTTGCAAAATATGTAGTGTAAAAGTTGCGTCAGAAAAAAAAATTACGATTACCCAACATTTATCAAGAGATAAACATGTTAAAGGTTTGGAAATGAATAAAGCGAAAAATAAAACTCAAGCGTTTTTTACCGACACGTTAACTAATTCGTTCAACTCACTTGCATCACACGTCTTGAAAAATCTGGACTTTCTTTAATTGACGCAATAAGTATAGTTGATGAAGCTGAAGTTTTTATTAATCAAAATAACAGTAGTCAAGGTAAAGAAATACAAAAAAACTTGAAGCTGTATTGAAAAAGAATAACGGATTTAAAGCTATTAAAAACATTAAGAACATTTTGGAGGGAAAAACTGTTTCACGAGATGAGAATACCGTTCCTGAAGACTTCACATTTGATGATATGACCTACATGAAATTTGCACCAATCACCTCTGTAGATGTCGAAAGAAGTTTTTCAATTTATAAACAAATATTAGCTGATAATCGGAGAACATTGCCTTTTGAACACATTAAACAGTATATTGTTGTGCAGTGCAACCATCACATACTATCTCAAGGTAAAATACTTAAATATTATAAAAAAAGAAGATTTTTTTTTTTATATTTTGACTGTTTATACCTAATACTATTTTTAATTTAATGATTTAAAATTAATTTTTAGTTTAACGTGACCATTAAAATACAAGAAACATAGAATCAAGAAACAGCTGTAAGCATTGATTAAATTAAGTAAAACAATTTTAGAGCACTTTTTATAATTATTTTTCATATTTTAAGTTCATCTTTTTAGTACATTTATTTATGTCATTAATTAAATTTTAATAAAATAAAAAAATGTTTGTGCATTTTTTTACGTTATTTTTCACATTTTTAGTACATTTTTTTATGTCATTAATTAAATTTTTTAGGTCATAATTGCATTTTTTCTAAGGCATTTTTAGGTTTTTTTTGGGGCATAAAAATCCTCGCCCTACTAATGATATAAAAACAGCATAAAACTTTTCAAACACCTATCAATATAATTATTCAATCATTATAATGTTTGTATAGTTATATATTTAAGTTCAAAGCATAACAATGATACTATGAATATATTACACGTCATGAATAATATCACAATTTTTTTTTTTTTTTTGGCTCTGGGGGTGGGTGTAAACGCCTCCTCACCCCGAATGTACGCCGCTGATTGTGATCACTTCTTATTATCTGTGTAGCTATACACATAAAAGGTAACGAATAAGGCAGAATATCCGTTATCGTCAATATTTCAATATAGGCTTTTAACATGTTATTCGACATTATACTTGAATAAACTAATTATTGAAATATAATATCACTAATAACACTCACATAAAATACTTAAGATTTTATTTTTAAAACGTAATTTTGTTAATTTAAAAGAGGAAATATTTTAATATTTTTTATTCGAATAATTGTATAATGTATAATTTAATACCGATTACCACGTCCGGCTCTAGGTTTAAACAAACATGGGCGAAATTTAATTTTTGCCGCCCTTTACGTGTTAATATTTTATCAAATATTATTTTTTTTTATACATAAAAATTGTCCAGGAAAAATGCCGCCCTAGGCGTGGACCTATGTCGCCTACCCCTTGAGCCGGGCCTGCTGATTACCTCTTAGCAGTTAAAAACCATAGGGTACCCGAAAACCTCGACTACCCACCAAATCTGGGTATTACCCAGATAAACGGATTCCCGGGTTTCTTGATGCCCGAGTATTACCCACATAATATCAAGAGCACTACTTATTAGTGGTGGGTAGTTACTACTGTATTCGGTGTAATGTAACGATTACATTGGTGGAACGA